CGAAGAGGACGGATGGACAGATGCTGGACGCACCGCCCAAGCCGCCGCAACGTCTGGCGCGTGCAGGGCAGGGCAGTTCCTTCCATCGAGGGCCAGCGATAAAAGCGGCAGTCGCGCTCGTCCTCTTTGGTCCTAGCCCCACTGTCGCCCGCTCGACGGCCCACTGACCCGACCCCCTGCCCTGCTCCTGCCCTGCTCCTGCTCGCGGGCAGTCTTGGTCCCCGTCGCCCGACATGGTGCCTGGCGCCTTCTCTTCTTATCTGCACCCCTCCTGCTGTGGCGCACCTTCTCCAATGGTCCTGCTAAGCGACCCCGACGGAGGGCGAGACAGGAAGGCACTTACACCCCAAGCTTGCCTGTTTGATTCGCCCCCCGGGCATCACGACGGCTTGCCCATGGGAGCCAAGAAGAGGCTGACAGCAACTTTCGCACACAGCCCTGAGCCTGGAACCCGGCGTCTCGCCTTTGTCACCGCCGCACGCTCGCCGCGATGCAACACTGATAGTGCTCGAACCTACCCATCCCCCGGAGCGGCTGAACGGTCCCCAGTGCCGCGTCGATACGGTGCTGATTTCGACGGATCCGCCACAGCATCGAGGCGGTTGTTGTCTTACACATGATCCACGATTGCCGCCGCACGTGAGCACCTGGGACAAACAATGGCAGCGTTGTGACCCTGGGTTGCCTCCAACGACGATGGAGCGATCCGCAGTCCGGCCGAGATGCACGGCACTCCAGCGAGCGGTCCAACTCCAACAGTGAATGTCGCCAGCAGTCTGGATGCAGCGCGCACGCACTGCGCGCGGGCAAGGGTTAGCGATGCAAAGCAGAGGCAGAGAAGCACCGAGAGAAAAAGAAAAGAAGCCAGTCGGCCGAAAGCCGCCGCAGGCTCGAGCCATGGCCGGCTGCACAATCCCTCGTCCGTTACACTCGTCTTCCCCAATCAACCCCCATGGCCAGGATAGCCATGCAATGGCAGGCATGCACGGTGCGTTGTCCTGTGCGCCCTATTTTCGGCCTCGTATTCCTGCAGCCAACAGAGCACCACACCTGAACCTGAACCAGAGCATGACGAGCGCCCCCCTCCCGAGCGCGGCACATCAACTTGACGTGCTCGTTGCCTGCAGTCATCGCCCTGTGAGGCGGCTCGTCGTTTTCTGTACTGTGTTGAGGTGTGCTTGTGATTTGTGCACAACAAAACTCTGTCGGATGCGAGATGCACACCATCGTCGCGTCAGGAGGACGACGGCCGAGGCGCCCGGAGGCGAATGGCAAGGCGAGAAACCCCTCCAGCGGCTGCCATGCTCATCCCCGATTAAGCTTATTGCGCCTTTGGTATTGGACGCCTCCTCGACTTGTGGCTGGCATGTCGGGCAGCTCCGTAGCCTATCTGACCCTCGCCCCTGCCCGCCTGGACGTCAACATCGCACACACCAGCAGCACGAGGCAGCCCGGTGCCTGTGTGTCGATCCGGCTGGCTGCGATGGCTACACAGAGATGGCCAACAGGCCAATTTCGACTCGCGTCCTACCTTGTGCGAAGGCACGGCCCCATCTCTTGGTGCTTTGTGCACCGGCAACGGCAATGATACAGCCTTGTCGACGCCACCACGACCGGCAATTCCTCGTCCGGTGACACCGTCCCGTCTCTGTCCCACCAGCGGAAACCAGTTCATATCTCACGCCGTGGCGCCATGGCGGTACCTGTCGAGATTGCTGCGATAGCGCATCGCCTGTGCCGGGAACAGCTCGACGGGTGGCTTGCGGTCTATTGACGGTGACGGCGCCGCGCAATCTCCTCAACTTGCCGTCACAGATATCAGCTGAACCTGCACGGTCATCGACCCATCCTGGTCAAGGAAGAAGCGTCACGACTCGGGTTCAAACCGTTTCGACTCGTTGTAGGGTTTTCGTGACAGCCTCGTCGACTCACGTTGTCCCCACGGCGGGCGGGACAAGTCGGTGACATTCGGACTCTCTATCCTCACACCGCCCAGTGTAAGTGAAGCCGTTCTTTCACTTTTTTCTTCCCAATGCTTAGCGGCCGTTACGTATGGAGCAAACGGCATTCCGCTCGCCGGTCCAAACCCTAAAATCGGCGAAAGCTTCTGGGAAAGAAACTCGACAGACTACAGGTGCAGCGCCCAAGGGACCGCCGATTCGGGCGATGCGGCACTTCGCGATGGAGGCAATGACGTGCGCCGCGCCAGCCGGACTCGCGATTCTTGGTGCTGGGCAGTGGGATCCATCTGCTGGTCTCAGTGGGCCGGCACCGGCACGAGTCAATCCTCGCCGAGCAGAGGGGGGCGCGAATCGACGGCTTGCAACATGGCGAGTTTGCAAAGAGAGTCGAAAATTCGTATTTGGAAACGGGGCAAGCGCTCCGTTTCGGCCTGCTAGTCCGCTAAGTAGATTCGGAGCACTTCGTACGAGGTTAGCGGTTGTAGCGGTTGGTTAGCCTGTCGCTCGATGGAGCCTCCATGTTAGCCGCATCGCCTGAAGCGCCGGGCGGCTCTCCGGCGCCCGTCGCGATGCCAATGCGGCAAAAAGGAAATCCAGATTGCTTTCCCTCAACTTTCGGTATGGTATCGCGAGCGTGCAGACGGGCAGACGCACCGCCCCTTGCGCCGTCTCCACGCCGCAGGTGTAAGCAGCCGCTGCGGGAGGCCCTCCCGCGGCCGTGCGCGCGCGGGTGCCTCGCATGCTGAGCCTCCACACATATCTGGTGCAACAAACCTTCGATACGGCTTCCCCTGAAAGCGCTGAACCCCCATGGCAAAGGGTCCCTTGCCTTGCTTGTGACAGTAAGCCCACGCAGGGCAAACAATAAAGAAACTCTTGTCTCGCATGCAAGGCCGTCGACGAGGTGTTCGCGGCACCACGAATGACAATGGGCTCCTTGCCCGCCGTGGCTGGCCGTGTCTTAAACATGCGTTGGGATAAAAATATCATCACTGCGCTGCTACGTACGGGCACTACGTTCACTGCACTGAGGGAACCCCCGAAGCAGGCGCCTTTGTCGTTGGCTGGCCTTATCACGAGCAAGCTCAGCCGTGCGTCGTGTCTCAACCAGTCGTTAATACACATACTCGCGCACCTGACTGCGCCTCGTCGTCACGCAAACGGACCGGATCTTCCCGCTCCGCACCACTGTTTTCAATCCCGATGTGTGAATTTCTGTGCTGCACCCGTACTGTAGACCTGGGGGTGCGACAAGTGCGCAGCCTCGGAAACGCAGCCACCGTTTGAGGCTGCTGCCCACGGGGACACCGAAATCGCCATGCAAAGTCTCGTCTCATTTTGCTCAAACGCCAGTAGAATCCATGATGAAGCCGTTACATGTCCAACGTGTGCATGTCCATGAATGATGTCGCCTCCCGTTTACACGGCCACCCAAAACTGCCCATCCGAATATCCGCCCCCCTTCCCAGCTGTGTCTATCATTAGGCAATGTTGTAAGATATGTACTAGGTATAGAAAAGTGAAGTGACCAAGGAGGCCGCCAATACTGTCACAAGGCACCCAACCTTACAACTCCTCACCGCCGTCGCACTGTTGCAGCATGACGACGCGGCTGACCTCAAGCTGAGGCTGCTTCCACGTCGCCAGCCACGTGTCGCGCGCCTTCCAAAAGTCCTTCCTTGCGTTCTCCGAGTGGTCCATCCACGGCTTGCCTGACTTGCCGTCCTCGAACCAGCCGTTGGTGCCGCCGACGGCTAGGTTGATGATGAGGTAGAACTCCTGGTCGAACGGGGTGTTGTCCCGACCAGTCTGGCTCCAGGCATCTGCCAGGCGCGTCCCGTTGGAATTGGACTCGGGGAAGTTGCCTCGCTGCCACATGGGCTTGTTGAAGTTTGTGTAAAGAACCTGAAGCAAGCGGCTGTTGACGTAGGTGAACAAGTACTTCTGGGACCACTCGAGGCCAAACGTGTTGAACCCCTTGCTGTACGTCGTGTGCAGCGCCTTGCGCTTGTTGTTCGTCTTCCACCAGGCGTCGTTGGCCGGGTCAGGTCCCCAATGCAGCGCCGATGAGACAATGTCGTTGCCGCCCTGGCCGTACGTCCAGTTGTTTCCGCGCGATTCCATAATGTCAATCTCACCCGAGGCGGGCCAGGGGCCATACGTGTCCTTGACGGGCATCATCCAAATGGCAGGCCAGAGCCAGTCGCCTTCTGGGAGCTTTGCCGTCACCTCAACGCGGCCGTACTTGAGCTTGGCACCCTTTTTGGTGTTGATGCGACCCGATTTCGTCGGAGGAACAATACTCGAGTTGCCACTGGTCGTGTTGGTGGCAGAGACGCAGCTGTACCAGTCCTTGGACGTGCAAGTGCCATCCTTGAGGAGGTTGATGACGTTGTCCTTCTCAACCTTGTCCGCGTCTTGCAGCGTGGCCTTGATGACGAGGTTTCCGTTCTGCACGAACACATTCTCATCATTGCCAGTTGTCTGATCAAACTCGCCGTTTCTGCGTCATTGTCAGTCAGAAGGGGGTATTGGTCTACTATTTGGGGGCGAGCGCATACCCAAAGCCACCAACCGTGACTTCCTTCGTCCAGACGTCAGTGTTCAAGCCGCCGTCAAAATTCTCGTCCATGACGGGGCAGTATTTGTGGTGAACGACGCTGCTGAGACCGTCATAAATGAGGAAGCCGGAGATGCCCAGTCCGATGAGGATACCGACAAGCGGCAGAATGGTGACCCATTTCTCCTTCGGGTCCTTTTTGGCGAGCCAAGGCTTTTCTATGTCGCCTTTCTGGACCCGCCTGGAATGGAAATATCGCTGTGACCGTTCGTCAAAACGGTTTCCAATGGCGCTGGACGAGCCATAGCTGGATGCTGGCCGAGAGGCATCGGGGCTGCCGAATGGGTTTGTGCTGGCGCCTGGACGGTGCGACGAGGCCGTGTCGTCGCCAAATGGGTTGTTACGACTGCCGTCTGTGTTTGGTGTGCCTGGTCGGAGGGGGGTGATGTTGGTGGATGTGGCGGCCGAGGGAACCACGGGCCGTCCAAAGTAGCCGTTATTGTAGTTCTCTTGATCCATCGCGATGATAGTCAATGTGTCGACAATATTGCACGCGTCGTAGTCACCCGAGGGGTGGCTATGGAGTTGACCGCCTGCGCTGCGCCGGCGTGCGCAAACTCTCGGGGCAAACCCGAGGACTGCTTGAGAGCTTGAGAATGCGGCCTGTTAAGTCTGAGCAATATCCCAAACGAAAAGAGCGGTTCCGAGCCTTGCCGCGGTTTGTCTTTTGGAGAGGTTAGAAGGAAGGTGATGGGAAAGGGGAGAGAGAGCCGAAGGAGCGGATTTGCAGAGGTTGAGGTTTCGCTGGTATGACGCCTGGCACCAGCAACCGGGTCGGGGAGCACCTGAAATGTCAATGGCAGCATCCAGGCCTGGCCGTTTTGGTGCAAGGCCTTGCGCTCCGCCATGGAGGAGGGGGGTCGGGTCCTTGGCCGCCCGAGCCCAGCTGTGGTGGAGTTTCGGCGGTTCGTGGCTGCGCGTTGCAGGCCCAAGTGCACCCACGCCACTCCCCTGCCCGTCCATCGCACGTAGCGCATCACAGCCTGAGCCCAGTCCCGTCCAGCCCAGGCTGGCCTTCGGGCAGTCCGCTGCGAGCTGCCGTCGTTTTCGGGGCGGCTCCTGGCGGCAGCGTGCCGGGAGTCGGTGCGGCACAGCCGGAACGTGGAAGAACGGGCGGCCTGTGTCCGTCGGCATCGTCAGCACACCCAGTGCGATTCGCAAGGTGATTTCCACCGCTCAGCAGCGGCATCTGATGCACGTTGGTCACGACAGCACCCCGGCAAAGGAGCTTCCCGAATTGAGTGCGGTTCGTTCGTGCTGGGCCGGCCAACGCCCTGGGCCCCAGCCTGTCGATAGTTGCTTGGACCAGGCATTCACCCAGCGGCCGCGGAAACACTGGGCCAGCTGAGGTGCCATTGCAACTTTGCGTGCCGGTAATATTGACTGCAAGCGCCCACCTGCCGCATGGCCAAGAGGCAACCCAACAACACCCCCGGAGCTGCGAGACGGGCCGCCCGTTTGCCGTGGGCGGCGCGCTTGGACGGGCGAGCCTGTCGCTGTCGAAGCGCCCGACAGGCGTCGGCGTCACGCCGTCCTGAGTGCCGTTTGTCGATCGCACAGAGGCCCAGTGGCCACCCGACGGCTGGCTGCGGAATGCCCTGGCGCCGTCAAGGACCCACGGAGCTGCTGAAGGCGCGGGCGTCGAGCGACGCGGCAGCATCGTGCTGGTCGGAGGAGCAGAGTTTTGGCAGAGCTTCGCGGGCAGCAAAAGCGGCAGGAGTTGTGGCTTCTCGGGTGCCTGTGGCGTTCGTGACCAGGGTGAGGTGGGCACGACCCCTGTTCCTGCACGCGCTTGCCATTTGATCCCTGCTCGCCTTCGCTACCGTCACCCCTCCCCTGCAATTCTTCATTTCGGGAAAGCGCACTGGCAGCTGCTGTTCCTGACGCATCTTGACTCGAAGAACCAGCTGCTTCGTACTTCGTACCAGTGTCGCCGCACCGTTTTCTCACCGTCGTTCTTGGCTTCCCCTCTCGCCATATCGGAGTCCGAAAGCCCTGTCGCCCAAACGTCGTATCTCGTTCCCTGCCCGCCTTGCAGCATCACGACGATGGAGAGGGGATTCGCGACCGTGGCGTGCGTTGTGGTCAGTCACGACTCAGCGCAGAGCCTCAGCCTTTTCCCCCGCACCAACGGTCGACCCCATCGCTCACTGGAATGCAATCGCACATGGCAAATGGTCGAAAATTCTCCGTTCCGAAATCTTCATCCCCAGAGCGGGTCCCAACACCGGCTTGGCATCCTGGTCAGCGCACCTGTTGGATCTTGGACTGCTGGCCTTGGTAATAGACTTTCTGCCGCGCCGTTCACAACGGGTTACGGCAGATGACAAAACGGTCGGGCTCCATTCGTTCCCAGGCGTCCGGGTCGTCCGAGGAAGAACCCACAGGCTGGGGCATTGTCGAGAACTCGATCTTTTTCGTGCGAATTCGGTAATGCGTGCAGTATGCGAGGGGCAAGGAAAGGCTAATCGTGCCCAGGAACCACAATCCCCAATGCCCAAGCCACCTCCACGGAGACTGAGAAGTCTGAGTCCCTGGCTATCAAGCCTCGCCGTTCCGTCTGTCCCGAGGTTCAGTCAACGCAGGCAAGCCCTCAGCCCAGGCGGAAGCCGGATCAAGACAGTGTGGGACTCCATGTCTCTGGCAGAGTATCAACCGAAATTTCGTTTGTCATAGTCTGTCGTGAGTCGTCGGCAGCATCCGAGGCTTGGGCTGCTCGTGCAGAATGGCCATGCACCTCTCTGGCTTTGGCGAGCAACGACTCGAGGCTCCCAGCCATTGGGCGCCGTCCATCCGAGCTGACCTGTTGCCTGTCCAGGTCCGACTGGTCATCCCTTGTGCGCCTTCTGCCCTGCAACATGATAACGCCTTCGGCGCCACATGCCCTCAGCCGCGCAAGCCTCAGATGTCGGTGGTGGCAGTGACCAGGCAGCCGGATCATCTGCAGCGAACGCTGCCCCTTCTCCGCCGCAAGTCATCCAACTTGGTTACAGTTTCGTTGTCGTGATGCCTCAAATTGAAGCCACCTACGGCGAGCAACTCCGGCGGTGCCGGATCGTCCGTCCGGCAACCAGTTCAGCGCAAGATCGGACGCCAATCGTGAATGGCAACCCCGTCAATCCATGCAAGCGCTCCACCCACGCCCAAGAAGCCCCTCCCCTATTTTTAACTAATTCAAAACTACCAGCTAGTCTTCGTTCGTGTCTGCAGGCAATCGCACTCGTCCCTTCCCAGCTGGGTTGGAAGACTTCCACAGAGGTGGATGGGTTTCGAGCCCAAGATTGCGTCGACACGGTGACATTCTGATGCCTTGCTGCCACAACAGATACCAGCAGTGCTCCCGAGCAAGGACCAGGCCTCCAGCACGAATCCTAGCTTTGCAGGTGCTGTTTCTTGATTGCAAGGGCGCTGACTCTCCTCCTGTAGATGAAACACCTCAATGAATCCGACAGCAAAGCCAACTGCATGGTCGGTCGGGTCTGGAAGTGGCCCGAGCAGATAGAGAGTGTGTCTGCAGTTCTCGGCGAGTTCCTTTCTGATCTTCTCAGTCCAGCATCGGCCAGCTCACCATTTGACCTCGTACCTCGTGTATGACGGCGGACCCAGGCCAAATATCGCGCAGCGTGATAATAAGGCCGTGACAGGTTTCGCCGCATCTTGGCACCATGGCACTAGGTGAGCTAGCCTTCTTGACCCTGTCCGTCGGTTCGCCCAGCCCAGCAACGTTCCGTTCGGGAGAGATTGGCTTGCATCATGTTGTCCATTGATGATGTGGCTCACCGTGACTGCGTGGAAGGAATCCTTCCGATAAATCTGCGATAGCGCCGGTAATGGTCTCGGTAAAAGTCGCCGCGCGTAGACCTGGATTGCTCACACAGGTAAGCCCTACCACCGCAGACAGCTGTGCGTCTGCAATAGCCTTATCGCGGCGCGTCACAAGTCTCGTCGACGTGTCCGGGAACAAAGCCCCGGCTCTTACACGTTGACCGATCGTTGGCCCGGCCGGGACCAGAGGAGGGAAAATGGGGCGACGGCCATCGTGGGCCGGCCCCATCAAGGCCAGTTGGCGGCGAACTCAGCACTCCCCCCATGATGCTGCTGTTTTCACAGATTATGGCTGGGATTGCATCCCAGCCAGCTGGCTCGCTTGCGGATATGCGGCCGCCAAGGTGAAGCCCGTACGTCGCATGTATGAGTTGTCGCTTCGCGGGGCCGTCGTGAAAACGACGCCGTTGCATGTTCGGCGCTGGTCCGGCACACCCCCCCACCCTTCGAACGGTGCAGCCAGCAATCCCAGTCGGCCGGGCAGGTTGCCAGGATCCGACCTTCTCGTATTTGACCGACGGGGAAAAATAAAGTCCATCCAGCCAACTGGCTCTGTCTCCTGAGGCACGCCAATCCTGCGTGCCACAGCGAATCTGCAGACGAGTGGAGGGCCTGAAACAAAACCTCGTCTTCTGTGACTGCATGCAGCGCCTTTGGATGCGGCCTGAAAATCTCTGCCATTGCGCTTCCTTTTGCCCTGTTCGTATCGCTGTGGTTTCGCCTGCAAGGAGGAACCCGCCAGGCAGGGTCCACGACCCGATGTGACGGCGGTATCTGGCGGCGTGCGCAAGCTGGCGATCACTGCAGCCCCGGGCGGTCAGGCGTTTGGATAGTCATCACCTGTCGCCGGCGCAAGCCGTGGCACAGGGCAACAGCTGGTGTTGTTGCTCTGCAGCGGCGGCCAAGCGACGATCATGGCTGTTCTCGTTCCCGTCCCCTGTGGCTTACTGTAGTGCCCACCGACCGTCACGGCTGCGAGGGCTACGAACTGGCACCGGGTGTGCGGTGGACAGAAGCAACAAGTTTCAGACCAGGGCAGGGCCCGTTCAGAGCCTGCCGCTCGGGGAGCCCTGTTGCTGCGATGCCCCGTGATGGGACCGCGACGCGGGTGAAGGTGTTGCTTCGTGTAACGCGTGCTCGGGACTTGGCTGGCTGGCTGCAACGGCACGCCGGCGGGGGTGATTGCTTCGCTCTTCGTCTCGTACAGAACCGCTTCACAATTGCAGATGTGGTGTAGCCTGCGAGGAGCTTCTTTTGTTGAGAAACGCACAGCTTCCGATTCCGTGTTCAGCAGACTCTGAGTGAAGTGAAATTTTACGAAGTAGCGACGGGGGCGACACGACACGCCTGAGGGGAGGCGCCCCCCGACCAGCTGTTGTCACCGGCACCTGCCCCCTTCAGCACCCGCTTACTCACTCACTCACCAGCGACCACCACCTCGGTCACTCCTTTACACCTCATTGATTGAAACCCTCCAGCCAACAGGCACCTGCCGCTGCGAGGCATTGGCCTTCCAATCTGAGGAAGTTGGAGATTATACTCGGTCGACGCATACTGTAGAGTCCCGGAACGGAGCGAGCCATGCTGTACCAGGCGCTGCTGGGGCTCGTCGGCCTGTGCGCCACCGTCGTGGTCGCAGACGACGGCGGCAGGGACCTTGGCTCTGTGCTCGCGGGCAACAAGAACCTCACCAAATACTATGACCTCATCAAGGTATGTCCATGTGCCGCCGAACCTTGCGCGGAATGCTAACTCGATTCGTCGCGCAGAAATATCCAGACATCCTGCTGCAATTGCCGAGCTACCAGGGCGTTACGGTATGTCTCCTGAGCTACCCGAGATGCTCACATGGTTGCTCTCGCAGAAGCTGACCTGTTCAGATCGTTGCGCCGTCAAACAAGGCCTTCGAGAACATCCCCTACACGTCTCTTAATGGCCAATGGGACCCTGAGGACAAGGCCAAGACGGTGCCCCTCCTCCAGTACCACATCCTCCAGGGCAACGTCTCGACAAAGGACCTTGACACCGGTCCAACCGTCGTCAGGAAGACTCTCCTGACGGACTCCAAGTACACCAATGTGACCTCGGGCCAGAATGTCCTGATCAACAAGCAGCCCGGCGACGTTGTCGTCTTCACCACTAGCATGGGCACGCGCTGTACCCTCGTCGAGGGCGACATTGCCTTTCAGGGGGGCCTGATCCAGGTCGTGGACAACCTCCTCATCCCGCCCGCGCGCATCGACAAGACGTCTGAGGCCTTCAAGGTGTCATCGTTCTTGGGCGCGCTCTACGCCGCCAAGCTTATGCCGGACCTTGCATATCGCAAGAACGTGACTATCTTTGCGCCTCAAGATGAAGCCTTTGCGCTCGTCGGTGGCGGACTGGAGAAGCTGGATTCGCAGAAGCTCGCTCGCGTCATGGGCTACCACGTCGTGGCCGACCAGGTCATCGTCTCGTCGGCGTTCTCCAATGGCACGAAGCTCGCCACTTTGGCCAAGGCTGACGGCGAGGGCGGCGCCAGCGAGAAGGTTACGGTACGCATCGCAGGGAACAACAAGTACGTCAACTCGGCGCAGATTGTCCAGCCGGACATTCTCATCGCCAACGGCATCTTGCACCTGGTGTCCGACGTGCTCAACCCCGATGCCGACACCGTTGCGCCGAATCCCACGCTTGGGACGCAAGTGCCCGTCTTTCCCGTCAGCTCTGCCAAGGACGCCTTCACATCTGCGCTGCCTTGCTCCACGGACTGCCCCGTGACAACTTCGGCGACGGGGACGGATGCCTCGGGGGCGGCTACAGCGACAACGAGCAGCACGTCGTTCCACTCCAGTTCCAGCAAGGGTGGCGCAATGCCAGCGAGGGCCACGGGAGGCGTGATGGGGACGGCGGCGATGGGGCTGTTGGGTGTTGGGGCTGGGATGGCTCCGTGGCTGTAGATAGACCGGGGTGAGACATTTGGTTGGCGGGATATGAGCTCTGGACGACTTATTGAAAATCGATTGCAATGGCCTCCTATAGGTCGGATACGATAATAGAAATATGTACTATAACGTTGGGCACGTAGACGTTGAATTCCGCGGATTCGATGACGACCGCTGCGACATCTATCAGTGGAACGACCGCTCATCGCGCTCCTAATGTCGGGGGCATCTCGAGCTGTAAGCATGGGCTTAACAACGGAGAATATGGCCGTGTTGCAAAGGTCGATGCCCTAGCCTCCCTCCCTAGTGAAGCATCCCGCGAGGCCATGGGCTTCAGGGGCCAAGGTGAGAACCTAACTGAGGTGGCAGCCCAGACTGTCCGCATGCCCTTTCTGCCTCCGTGCCAGGAACTTGCAGCAGCGGTACGAGCTCACGTCGATTATAGGGCAGGAACTGTAGATCGAAAGGTTTCAATATTAAGCTCAATGGCACATGGCCACTCTCAAACGACTTTCGGCCAACACACAGGTACACAGTGAGGTCGGTCCAGTAGGTACACCGACTATCGGGTCAGAGTTCAGAGACAAGACATATCTCATATCCAGCCCAAAAGTGCCCAAGACCATTTCCCAACTCTCATAAAACCAGGTTGGCCCGTCGTACTTTCGATTCATTTCCTGCAGAGATGAGGTCAGCCAAAGTTCCGCGACGTGGAGCGCAGGGGAAAGACGTACGCGTTCTCGGGGTATCGTCACACATAACACATGTTTCTCCATTGGAGAGAGCTCATTCAGTCTGGCATCTTGGCAGACGAGTAGTTGTCTCATTACCGAGCAGCCTCAACGGTAGTCGCGGCGGGGGCCAGTCGGGGGGCCAGGGCGATCGTAGCTCGCGTAGCTCTGCTGGGCCGGGCTGCGGCTGTCGCGGCGGCGGTAGCCATCGTCGTAGCGACCACCGCCACGGTGAACGGAGCGGGAACGCGAACGAGACGAGTACGAGTCGTACGAACGGCTGCGATAGCGGCTGCCGCCACGCGGGCCACCGGAATCCGCGCCACGGTAGGACTCAGGGCCGCGGTAGGCGTTGTCTCGTGGGCCAGAGTAGCCGGGAGAGGGGCGACGGTTGTTGTTATAGCCGCCAGCCGGGGGGTAGCCGGGGGAGCCGCGGCGATCGCGAGGGCCCATGTTGGCACCGCGCGAGGCGGGAGGCGGGTTGGCTGCCATCAGGCTGCGAGGCAGGACGATGGAGACATGGACGATAGAGCCATCAATCTCGCCCTCGTGAAGGCTCGCAAGGGCAAGCTCCGCGTCGGCTTGGTGCTCGTACAGAATATACGCGGTTCCACGGTTCTGGCTCACTGCAGTACACACCCGTCAGCTCGTTCAGTGTATGCAGTGCAAACGAGGGGGCCCTTACAGGTGCGGTTCATGGGCACGTCGAGATCGCGAATGGGGCCATAGCGACCAAAGATTTCGCGAACATGATGCTCGCGAATGTTCTTGGAGAGGCGCTCAACCACAATCTGGGTGGGAGTAGGTAAGCCAAGTGCACGGGCAACGTCGCCTGGACAGGCACGACGAACTTTGGTGCCGCCAGGACGGGGCGACCGGCTGCGGTCACGACTGTCGCGACTGTCTCTGCCGCGGGGACGGCTCCAGCTGCGAGGGCGGCTGCGGCTGCGGTCGCGGCTCTCGCTCCGGTAGCGGCCGTTGCGGCGAGGAGGAGGCGAACGCGAGCGGGAACGGGAGCGCGAATCGTAGCTGCGGCGGGGGGTCGGGGAACGCGAGTCGCGGGTTCGAGGCGTGGGCGAGCGGGAGCGGCTGCGGGTGCGAGATCGATAGCGTTCGCGGTCGCGGCCAGGGGAATGCGCGGATCGAAGAGATCGCGAGCGCGAGCGCGAGGCCATAGCTGCAGTCGGGGAGGGTCGCGGGTGCGCGGCCGTGGGAGGTGGGAGGGTGGGAGGTTGCAGGGAGAATGCGTTTGCAGGTGAAGCTTTGGAGCTCTGGAGCTGGCACACACGACGCGCAGCTTTAGTGGGTGTTGCTGCCAGCTGTCGCGCAGTCACGTGGGGTTTCCCCTGGCGGCCCTTTAAATTCCAGTCCTCTCCGCTGTGCCTGTTCACGCGGCCACAACAGGCCAGCGGCGAACAACACAAGACAATGAATGAACGCGTGCCGCTGAATCGAGTGCGAGCGTGCAAACGGCCATTATGGTTCACGTGACTCGACAGACGCAACCTTTGCGAGGGCGCCCTGCGCAAGATATACCGTCGATGCAACTACACAAAGGTTGATGGTGCTTGCTGGCAAGCTTGCGTACCTATAAATTCAGAAGAGAAGTGTTATTCGTAGCGCCGAATTTTGTTTCTTAGCCGCGCTCTACCCCTATGCGGCCCCAGCGATTTATACTGCGCAGGATGGGACAGCAGCGGTGCGCTGCGTAGGTATTGCTGCCGTTCCCGCCGTTTCTTTTGTTGCTGTCGTTGCTGTCGTTGCTGTCGTTGCTGTCGTTGCTGTCGTTGCTGTCGTTGCTGTCGTTGCTCTAGGTACAGCTACCAAAAAGTTGGCTCTACGAATAGCACCACTCACTCATTCAGAAACGGGAATGGAACCCCTGTGAACAGGACAATTTCCTCATTGCCGTCAGAAAATATGCGCAGATAGCTCGGGAGGGCCTCCCGCAGCGTCAAATGATCCATTGAGTCCCCTTTAGTCCAGAATCCAGATATACCTATCTCAAGTAGTCTCAACTCTCCAGCGCTCTCTGCGAACTCCTCTCCCCCTATAGGTTCCTCAAGCCGCGCCTCCCACGGGCGTCAGTTTCACCCAACACCCGTTAACCAAGCTAATCGTCGTGCTCGCCTGCTGCACCATGGGCGCGTCGTCGGCAGCCTCGATGCTCTCAAAGACCTGGAAGAAGCGGGCGGTGAGGTACGACATCATGGTCAGGGCGAACTGCTGCCCGATGCAGATGCGCGGCCCGCCGCTAAAAGGGACATACTCCCAGCTGTTTCCGCGTTGCTGGTTCAGCTCTTGATGTCTGGCGGCGGAGGGACGACACGCCGCGGCCGGCCCTAGGGGAGAGAGGGAAAGGGGGAAAGGGGGAAAGAAACTCACCTCATGCGCAGGTTGTCCCAGCGCTCCGGGCGAAACTCCTCCGCGTCGTCCCCGTACACGTCCTTGCGCCGGTGCAGGCTGTACAGCACGAAGCGGCAGCTCGTCCCCTTGGGCACAAACAGCGGCGCCTGGCCGTCCGGGCCGCCGCCGCGCGGGAGCACCGTGTCCCTGTTTGCGGTGCGCATGTTGGTCACCACGGGCGCCCATAGACGCAGCGCTATCAACGGTCCCGCGTCAGCGTCCGCGTAAGAGTCTCCAAGCCTACGCAACTGAACAGTCAACGACTTAAGGGGGTTTTCATAACTCACCCTCCTTGAGCACATTGTTGAGGTACTTGAGCCCCTTGAGGTCCTCCCACGTCGGCCGCCGGCCCTCCAGCCCGGCCACCTCGGCGCGCAGCCGGCGCACCACCTCGGGCCGGCGCGCGAGCTCCCAGAACATGCTGCTCATGGTGCTGGCGCTCGTGTCGCGCCCGCCCAGGATCATGGCCAGCAGCTGCTCCGTGATCTGGCTGTGCGACGCCCCCGAGTCGAGCATCTCGTTCATGAAGACGTACGCCCGCTCCTGCGACTTGCCGCGCCGCAGCGCCGACGCCACGTACCCGTCGATGTACGACTTGCAGTACGCGACCGAGGCGTCGAGCTTGCGGTCCGGCAGCAGCAGCAGCAGCCAGCCCAGTCGGGCGCGGCTCGCTGATGAGAGCAGTGCGTACTCGAAGGACTGGGTGAACTTGATGGCCTCCGGGGTGGGGTTGACGAGCATGTCGGTTGAGTAGCCGAACCTACGGCATACCGCCATGATGATGAGCCACAAGCTTCGCAGTACCCCATCTCAGCCTCTAGTGATACGGCGCGGAGACTTACATGAAATCCGTCGACGTGTCCATGGTAAACATGTACAGCAGCGCCTGCAAGTCCACCTTGGACGACCCATCGCGCGGCAGCCGCTCCAAGAAAGCTTCCACATGCCTATCTGTGCACTCCAGGTCCGCGATCTGGTTCCGCACGAAGCTCGGGCGGATGAGGGCACGGGCATCAGCCCACTCCTTGCCGTTGGCGGAGAAGATGGCGTGCGGCCCGAGGGCCAGCTGTGTCGTCTTCTGGCGCGTGCCGCCAATGGGCCAGGCATCAAACTGCGTCGACAAGAGGGCTTTCACGTTCTCAGGCTCGTTGGTCATGATCATCCAGGACCCGATGGAGAGGTGCCAGAAGGTCTGGCCGACGGAGCGCATGAACAGCTCGTGCCACGTCTCGAGCACGGCGTTGCGCCGCAGCGCGCCCGTCATGAGCCGCAGCCAGTCGATGCCCAGCACCGGGTCCGCGTGCGGGTAGACGAGCGCGGGGAGCGTCCCGTGGAGGCGCATCCCGCGCAGGTGGAGGTAGCGCCGCCGCGCGGCGACGAACACGGGCAGCGCGATGAGCAGCGCGAGCTTGGGCGAGGCGTACGCCGCGACGGACGCGGACGTGAGGTGGTGATGCCGCGCGAGCAGCTCGACCGCGACCCAGGCAATGTACGTGCCCGCGCCGAGCGCCGCGGCGAGGAAGGCCGCTTCTCCAGGCATGGCTGTTGACGCTGCTGTGTTACCGAGAAGATCGTGGGCCCGCCTGCGGAATGAGGACAACGGTGTGTCGCGCGGCTGTAGCTGCGCCTTGCTTCCCGAGTGTATATATGTGTGTATATATAACTAACTCGGCTTCAGGACTTCGTATCGGAAGGCCAGAGGATTCTGCTCGACACCAACGCGCGTGCCCCCTTCTCCTTCAGCCCCTCACAGCCCGGGCGCCACGAACGGCACGGCGGCGCCGCCGTGCCTGCCTGAGACAGACAACACCAGCAGCACCAGCAGCCAGCAGCCAGCAAGACGACCCAACCCCCGGGCCTCCGAGACTCCAATTTTCTGGCACCAAGGTCGTCTCGGTTGTTGGCCCAACCAGCGCCAGGCAAATGATACCCTGTGATGCGGAGGCGAGCACCTGTTGCAACGCTCCAGGACCCGATACCGAGGCAGCTCCACTATTTGCGGCCCGTCGCCCGCAAAATCTGGGGGTGCGCCGCCCGGGGTCGAGGCCGGGCCCCATCGTACCCCGTAGTAGTAATCAAAGCCCGCTGCTTGCTCCCTTGCATGTGCTCCTGTCGCCGCTCCTCCAGCCGTCCATCTGTGGGTGCTTGCTGAAGATCTTCACGGTAGTGACCCCGAAAGCGGCCGTTTGTCCGAAATTGGGGTGTCTTGGAGAGTTGAGGGCATCCCGCATCACGTGTCCCCGTAGAGAAGGGACTCGCAGCCTCGTCGACCTTGACGTGCAACAGCAAGGAATCACGTACAATGCTGCTTTGATGTAACAGCTTCAAAACAAGTCAACGCTTGTCCAAACCGGGCAAGCCACCCGGCAGTGAGATTCACTCAAGACGAGGCCATCTATGTGCAACACGACTCCCGTACACGAGCCCGACCCGCCGGCCATGACACGATGACCCAAACATAACAAACCCATGATTCCATCAAACTCCACCAGCAAAGCATCCGTTTCAGCCGCCGCCTCTCCCTTCTTTACATGGTCGGGATGCCTTCGTACTCGGCGTAGCCCAGCGCGAGGTTCATGTTTTCTATGCAAATCAAGTCAGCCCATGTACGTCTGTTGCCTGGGTCGCGAAAACTTACGCAGGCACTGGGTCGCGGCGCCCTTGAGCAGGTTGTCGATGCTGGCGCACACAACCACCCGCTTGCCGCTGCTGTGCACCGCGAATCCTCCAATCTCCACGCCGTGCCTGTTCATAATCTCCCGCACCAGCGGCGCCTCGCCCACCACCTTGACGAGCTTCTCGCCGGCGTACCGGTCCTGGTAGATCTGTCGAATGTCTCGCGACGTCATCGTCTTGTTGAGCGGGATGTTGATGGTGTGGTGGATGCCTCGGAACCACGACGCCACGTGGGGGATGAAGCTGACGGGCGTGTCCAGCTGGCGGCTGATCTCGCGCTCGTGCACGTGGTCCGTCAAGCTGTACGGCATCAGGTTGTCCCTGAGCTGCTCAAGGTCGTTCTTGGGAGACGGCTTGGTCCCAGCGCCCGAGTAGCCCGAGACGCCAAAGACGGTTGGCTGGCCACCCAGGTGGTCCAGGATGGGCGCGATGCCTAGCTGGGCCGCAGTCGCGTAGCATCCCGGGTTCGAAATGCGCTTGGCCGGATAGATGAGAGATCGCTTGGTCAGCTCGGGAAGACCATACGTCCAGGAATCGGTGAAGCGGTGATCCGCCGAGAGGTCGACGATGACGCTGGGGCGGTCACGGCCCTTGGAGGCGGCGTCGATAGCCTCGATATAAGGCTTGCACACACCGTTGGGCAGAGCCATGACCCAGCAGTCGACCTTGCCCTCCTTTTCGATCTCACCAACCTCCTCCGGACCGAGGCTCTCGTAGATGATCTTCCTCTTGGTGTAGCCCTGCAGCTCCTGGCCGGCCAGCTCTCGCGAGGAGACGTGCCTCAGGTCCATGTATGGGTGGGCGTTGAGCAGGTCGATCAGCGCCTGGCCAGTGTAGCCGCGGGCGCCGATGAGGCCGATGCGCGCGGGGACCGTGTTGGACGCGTTCTTCTTGCCCAGAGGGGGGTTCGGGTTGGTGGTGGTGGCATAGCCGCGGCGCTGCACGCCGTAGCTGAAGGTCGAGAAGCCACGCGCCTGCGAAGGCACTTGGGCAGCGCGAAGGGACTGGCTCGCAGACTGCGAGGCCCTCTGAAGGCGGGACTCGAGGTTGGAGTCGCCAAGCATGGCACGGCCGTGGGACACAAACTCCTTGTGAACGGCGGCCAGCTCAGCAGGGTGCTGGTCCTCGCAGCCGTAGTAGAACAGGGCGCTGCCGTTGTGGTGGCGGATGCCCTCAGCCTTGTCGTAGAACCAGGTCAGGTTCTCGTCGGCCTGGCTGACGGTCCAGACCAGGCTGGGGTGGTCCTTCTTGATCGCAGCGAAGACGTTGTCGGCGACGCTGGTCAACCAGCCCGACTTGGTGACGTTCAGCGTGGCCAGCGTGGGCAGGGTGCGGCCGTTGCCGGGCTCGAGGACAATGGCCAGGCACTGCATGGACTCGTCGTAGTAAGCCGTGAAGGGGTTCTCCTGGAGGAACTCGATCCATCGGTCAACGGTGGCCTCGGCGTCCATGCCCTCGCGGTCACGGATCAGGGTCTCCTTGACCTTGCTCAGATCACTAAAGTCCGAAACCGACGTGACCTTCTGGATCTTGTTGCCCCGGCGAACCAGCGTACCGGCACCAGAGTCGGTGAAGAGCTCCTTTTGCAGGTCGCTCGGGTGGATGATGGCAACGCTGGAAGTGCGCGGGAGGGTGTCGAGCAGCTCCTTGATTTCCTTGATCTTAAGACGGGTTCCGTAGCGGCACCACTCTTGCGACATGAGGTGATCAAACTCTTCGTCAAGGTTGATGTGGGAAATCTTGTCGCCGGCGCCGTCGAACAGACCGCCCTTCTCGGACAGGTAGACGACCTTGAGCGGCTCCAGGGCACGAGCAAGCTCGGCGGCGGCCACGTCGGCGTTCACGTTGAGCAGCTGACCGTCCTCCGTCTCGGCCATGGAGGTGAGGACCGGGATGTAGCCGGCCTCGATGGACTTTTCGATCGACTCCTTGTTGACCTTTGTGATCTTGCCGACATACTGCCACTTATCCTTGTTGAGGTAGTCGGCCATGAAGACACCGCTCAGGGACCGCGACTGGACGCCAAGGTCGTCGAGCCTGTCGACGAGCTTGAGGTTCTCCTCGAGGAAGAGCTTGCGGGCGACGCCGAGGGTCTTGGCATCGGTGATACGGATGCCCTCCTCGAACTGCGGCTCGACTCCGGCATCGGCGAGGAGGTTGTTGAGCTGGGGCCCGGCGCCATGGACGATGATGGGGTAGAGGCCAAGCTCGGTGAGGAAGAGCAGGCTGCGGCAGAGCTCGTCGATGTACTCGGTGAGGATGGCGCCACCGACCTTGATGACGGCAAACTTTTGTGACGAGACCGAGGTGAAGAGCTTGAGGTACTGCTCGCTCTCGCGCTTGCTGCCAATGGAGCTCAGCGTCTGGATGACGATCTCGCGGGCACGGTCCCTGGCGGGGGGCAGGGCGCAAGCCCTCGTGGTGGACAGGGCCCGGCGCTGGAGGGCGGCGGCGACGGCGACGGATCGGGCCTTGTTCGGAGCCGCGAGGGCAGCTCGGGGCGCCGCTCGGGATACCGCTCGAGAGCCAACCCGCGCGGCGATCGCGGGGGCGGAAATCATGGTGGCAGACGGCTTCTACGGGCCCAATTGGCTCGGCGGCGGCGGCGAGGGCGGCAGTTCGGGGCGCGGTGGTCGTGCAATGCGAGGGACGGGGTGCGGTGGGAGGGAGGGACGGCGGTCGGCTGTTGGTGGTGAGTGACTGATTTATTAGGAAGAATTTCGGGAGAATTTGGTGAGGGAGTGAGTGGACTCTCGGCGGAGGGGCAGAATCAAGCCCCGAAACCGCAGTTGGAGCCGGGCGGTGACTGGGTCAACAGTCACCATCACGCCGCCCCCAGGTGCCGCGTCCAGTGATGTCTGGCAGGCGGGCGCTGGGGCCCCCACGGCACGCTGAAGCGACTGGGGGGAGGCGACCCACCTGCCGCCCACCGGCACTGGCCTGGCACAGAGAGGGAGGGCTCGGCTCCGCGAGAGGAGGATAGCCGTCTTGTATAAGCGGCATCGTTGACATACCTTGTCTCTTTTGAGGTGCGCCTGCTGTAGATACCTGAGGGGCTAGGTATCCTAGGTAGGCGACTTGGAAGGCGCCTGTCTGTCCGTCTATGGCTCAGCCCCTCTGCAGGCCCGTAAAAGACCTCTGTAGGTGGTCGTCGCGTCGGCAGCCTCTGCGGTGCGACGGCGTCTCTCTGTCTCCCTCGAACAGGTATATATAAATATATCCCTGGCCTTGGGTAGAGAGAAACTCAAGGCAGGCAGTCGATCTCGGCGTGCAGACGGAGTCCCGCGTACGATAGAGGGGGTCACCGGACAAGAGTGGCTACGGGCACCCGGCCGCGGGAAGGGGGAAGAGGAGGCAGGAGAGCAAGAGAATCGGCCCACGTCGAGAGAGAGAGAGAAGATGGGCAGGCGCAAGAGAGCAGACGGCGAGCGCGGACGCGCGACATTTGTATCCATGTCGCCAGCACGGGCAGAGCTGCCGCAGTCGCAGTCGCAAAGTCGCACGCGCAGGAGCAGAACACCGCCCCCCCCCCCCCTCTTGGCCAGTCGTCCCGCCTTCCCACCCGAACACGCGCGCGCAGACAAGACGCACACACACATAACGCACAGTCGCAGCAAATCGAGAAGACGGGACGCGGCAAATATGCCTCCGTAGGGAGGTAGCATCATCGCCCGCCCCCCAATGCCCCCTCGACGTCGCAGCCCGGGCGTCAAAGTTGCGCTGGCGAAGCGCACAGTTCCGCGGGACCTGGCGGCCGAAAAACGCCGCATAGACGCCCGCCGTTTGGCGCGAGCCCGCTCAGGTACTGCGACTTGCACGCCGCCCGTGATGCTACCTCCGCTGTACCGGCGAAACCGCTGATGACGGGGGGACGGGCATGCCGCCTGCGGCAAGGAGGCCGCCTGCGCGCAGTACACCGCCGCCGCCGTCGCCCTCTTTGTTTCTCGGTTTTTCCCATGCTGTCTTTGGTCTGTTTTGAGGCCTGAGCCATTTTCCATTCCATGGGAGCGAGTGAGTGCATTTGCATGTGCAAACTGGCGCGCAAATAATTCCCTCTTCCCTTTTGCGGCTCCTGTCCGTCCGCGCCCTCGCCCGCGCCGCACGCGACCCTCGGGGCCCGGCCGACGTCGCCTTAATCCCTCTTCCAAAAACACAAGGTAGCCTGCTTGACAAAACCGTCGGCACGGGGTCTATGATGTGGGAGGGACAAGCGCGTAACAAAGTACCTAGGACTACTTCGCACGGTCCCAGGGCGAGTCGTCACTGCCACGCAGATCCAGCCCACTTCACCTCCGAGCGACGCGAACATGGCGGCAGCTTGCGATGCCGCAGCACCCGATCCTGACTCCTGCCACTTTGGAACAAATGGCCGTCCCAGACTGATGGAGAAACAGATGCCCGCCGCCTTTCTCGACCTACCCAGGTAGTAGGTCCCAACCTACCGACCTACCTAGGTAGGTGGTTAACTTACTCACCGCAACGCAGTTTACACGGTTGCATTACAAACCGGCCAGATTATTCACTGCCAGTCGGGAACCAAAAATAGGCGAAGGGATATAGCTCAATTATGCGGGGGGAAACGCCTAGCCCTCAGTCATACATCAGAGCCCAGCCTGCCATTCGTCGTGGGGTTGCGCCGTGGGCGCTTCTCCGAGGAACACGAGGCCACGGCGAACGACCGACCTCGCAACACACAAATACCCAGACCCAGGTCCAGCGAGAGAACTCCACGTGCTCAAATCAAAGTGTCCATCATGTCGACTCCGCTGCCGCCTTCGACTTTCAGAGTCGCGTGCTCGTGAACCTGCGAGATCCGCGTCGTCATGTCTAGATTGGGCCGACAGGGCCGAGTAACCAAACCATGGGGGGATATCAACGAGTAGCAACGACTTCCCGCTGTTAGCAAATGCCGTCGCCAAGGGCATAGGGGCGCCCTTACCACTGGGGATAATGATGATGCAAAGCAGGATGATGATGCCGGCAATCAGGCACATGCGCATCTTCATGTCCTTCCACCACATCTGCTTGCGAACCCGGTTGGCGCCTCGGCGGAAGCCTTGGGCGGAGACAGCCAGGTTGTCGGTCTTATCCTGGAGGGCATCGAGACGTTCGCCGCGCTGAGAGACCTTGTTGATGTTGTCACGCATCACACCGACCGTGTCGTCGATTTGCTGCGTCTCGTTAGCATCGTGTCAGACGGAGCTGCCACTGGTTCCGACAGGAGATTGCGGGGCGTGCGAGGAGCAGGCGGTCGTGTTGCGTTGGAACAGTGAGGTTGGAGTGGCCGTGCTGTGTTGGCGACGCACGGTCTCGTGGGATTGAGGGGGTAAGGTAGCAAGGCGCAGCGACCGTCCATCAGAAACATCAAGCCGTGTGTCGGGCCAGTGCCAGGGCATCGTGAATGGCGGATCTCGGACATTCTCTTGCTCCTGCAGACGAGGTATGAAGGGATTTCCTGGTCGTGGGCCATTGGCAAGTCGGGAGTCGCGGGCGGCCATCGTTTGTTGTCGGCAAAGGCCTTTGTTCCTCGATCGCGCGCAGCTCGCTCGCATCCTCTTGCAATCTTGCGGAATCAGGCACGTCTCACAGGCACACAAAACGTACCGCTTGCAGGGCCTGCGTCCTGGCATTTCCGCCAGCGCCTCCCTGTTGCGCGCCGGCTTGGCCGCTAGGGATGTAGGGGTCGTAGGGAGCCTCCTGCTCAGGCATGGTGGCGACGATGTGAATTTAATGAGTCGAAACGAAATGGCTTGACAGTCGGCAGCGCAGTCGTTCGAGGAAAGCGATGCGATCGGGGTGCGTTGTTCGGTTCGCGGATGAGGCGTTGCGGTGATGGGGATGGAGAGTTTGCGTTGCAGAGCACCGGGAGGCGAGGGACAGAGGTGGCCAACCCAGTCAGGTGGTTGGCGAGGCGAAGCGCTGCACGGGCTGACGACAGCACCTTGGCTGCGGAGGCAACGGAACTGAAACCTCCGGCGACTCCTTCAGGGTCCCTCTCTGCGGCGCGCGGTGACGCAGCAACCGGGCTTTTCCCGTGGCAGACGTCAATACGTATGAATGGTTACCGCACGGTACTTCCTTTTAAAATGACGGCTAGCTTCTCAGAATCGTTTTGTTATGTATGTTCTTGTCACCGCCTCGACGGTCGGAAGTGAGAGTTCAAAGGTACTTGGCCATCACCGGCGGCACGTACCTACCTGGGCCGCGCGACCAACAGGGCCAAGACGGCCACCGTTCGCCAGGGCAGCGCGGGCAGTCCGCGCCAGCTGAGTCATGCAGCCATGCAAGGTGAGCACATAGTCACGTGATGTGCGCCACAGCTCCGTAGGTGTGGCTGGCGGAGGCCGTGGCTGGACAACGCCCGGGCGCCTTCCGAGGCTCGCCCAATGCCACTTTGTCCATCACGTCCAACGGAAGTGGTGCCGATGACATCGATTCGTATAGCCTCTGTCACGGCATCCATTGGTCCCTGCAGCCGTCAGGTCACTTTCGTCGTGTGCATCTGGGACTCGTCGAGGCTGCGCATGGTCGCACGCGGTTCGTTGCATGACGGTTTCAGGCGCCGACTTTGGTCGCGGCTCTGGAGCGTCTCAGACAGAAGTCGCTGCTTTCGCCCACCGACGACATTCCTGCGACTCGGCCGGCTCTGCGTGCCGTCAATCAGTTGCCAGGGGCGCTCGTCCGCACAGAAGAATGGACTTGTGCTTGGGCATTGTCCCTCGAGTTATTCACGGCGCCAGGGCACCTCGGGCGTTATGCGACTACCCCGTTTGCCAGGGCGACGCGGCCTGCCCGGCCCTTCTCCGCTACGCTTATAATAAGCCTGAACGTGCTTGCTTACTTGTGCAAGTGGACGGACAAGGAAGGGAAGCTTTGGCTGTCAACCAACAATGCGCCTCACCCGTGCCACGTCGACGGGCCTCTCTTCCCCCGCAGTCTGGGGTTGACACTCTGCCGGAAGCGTCTGCTATAACTCGTGGCACTGGATACTCGGGCACCATGAACCCCTTGCACCTCGTTCCGAGTCGATGGTCCAGGGGCACCATGGCGCCAGGTAGTGTCTTGGAAGGAGTGAGAAGCACCAAGGAGCAGATGGTCGCGGCGACAAGAACCGCCACAAAAAGGGTCCCCGCCTGGTGTCATCATCGATCAACCGGGGGGGCTGATCCGGCTGTACGAAGCGGGCAGTCCCCTCACCACTCCGCCCGCTAACCACCGCGCCATGCCGCCTGCCACCAGACGAGTCGAGGGCACCGCCGTGGCTGGCTTGGCCCTCGTATTCCGTCCGCCGTCGACCGACGCGGTCCTCGCTCCAGGCCTGGGGACCGCACCGGACCCCAAGGTCTCTCGGCTTTCTGACGGGTGCCCGCCTGAGAAGAAGAATACGTATGTGCATGTACGTATTACTGTTCGCTCCAGCCGGCTACCATTTTGCCCTATTTCCGATTGCGGCACAATATGTCATGATACCAAGTGGCTAGCGCTGCCAGCCCCCGGTTTTGCGGGCCAGACGCCAACGGACGATTCGGGCGCCAGACTTCGTATCCGCAGGTGGGGCCTGCCGGCGCCGTGTGGTATTCCATCAAGCCCCCAGCTCGTCTGCTGTTGTGCCATGGGCATTTCTCCAGAGATTATTGTTGATTACTGTGCTTGATGTTTTGCAGATGCGAGGCAGGCGGGCTCGTTTCCTCGTGGCCCGGCACCGGCAGTTTGGTGCCCCGGCCTGCTCCCACAGCACGGAGGGGGGAGGGACAAGTGAAGAGCGAGAGAGACAGACAGAAACGGAGACCGAGACAGACAGATGCTAATATCAGAAATCCCAGCCGGACCGTATGTCCGAGCCGCCCATTGTGTCACACTCACACTCATCACCACCCTCGCCAAGTCTGCATGCAGTGCGACCAGCATCGCTCGCTCGTTTAGACAGACGGATGCGTGCGCGCCTGCGGCAGCAATACGTCAATACGTGAAGGATCACCTCGTACTCGTCCACGTAGACATGCCGTTCCGCCGTACCCCAGCCGCCGGTAGAAGGAAGGTAGGTCAGTAGGTACTCGTACTTGTTGTAGTCGGTCGAGGTGGCTCCTGCATGCACTCCCGCGCCCCGGTACCTCGTCATCCTTGTCCTTGTCCGACCTGTCCGTCCGTGTTTGTGTTTCCCCGGCCACCCCAAGACCGCACTCGGCTGAGGTCCCCTCATGGTCGCGCACATTGTGGAATCACGGCCCCTCGTCGACCCCGGATGCACCTGCGCTGGATGACGACGCCTCGTGGCTTCAATCGACGCGGCCTCGGCCGGCCGTCTCCCACAAGAACCTGCCCATCCCATCCCGCCCCGTCCTATCCTATCCTATCCCAGGCCAGCCCTGCACAGCCCTTCCCGTCCTCACCTCGCTGCTGTTGGCAGCTCCGGCACATCTTACCTCGCCCAGCCCACGCGCCGAACCTTGCTCGACCTCCATCTTTGCCAGCTTCCTCGACTGCTGCGCCATCCGTACAATTATACTCGTACAAGCATCCGAAAGTTTCGACGGTAGCTGGCCAAGCTCCACCCACCCACGCGCCTGCATCCAGAGGGTACGAGCCTCCATCAAGTCACCCGCTACCCGCCCCGGGGCTTGGCTCCGGCTCTCCCGCCTCCACCTCTTCGTCCTTTTGCTCGCTCGCTCGCTCGCTCGCCTGTTCGTTTTTCTCGCTCGAGGGCGCCCCGACTTGGCTTCATCTCTCCCGTCCATCGCTTCCAAGACTTGGCAATCTCTTGTGCCCCTTCGTTGCCCATGGGTTGCCGACCGTGCTCCTGTGTCTAAAGGCCCCGTCGCGGACAAGCGCTCTTAACATGGTCCGAGTCCCTCGGTGGCCGGCGTGGCGCCGGGCGGCGGCCGCATCGCTGCTGTTCACCACCAGCCCGCTGGTCGCGGCGTACGACCTCGATCCCAACTCGACCGGTACGATACTCCAGTCTCCAGCGTCGCCATGTCGTCCTGGCTAACTGACACCTGTTTTTTTTTTTCCACAGAATCCGTCACCACAATTGCCAAGCAAATGGCCGATGACATGCTTTCTTGGTACAACGGCGACAAGCCCGGCGGCACGCCTGGTCTACTACCAGACCCATACTACTGTACGCACCTGATCCTCATGCTTGTCCTCGATGTCTTCTCTGACCAATTTTTCGCAGGGTGGGAGGCCGGCGCCATGATGGGCGCTTTAATCGACTACTGGTATTACACCAAGGACGATTCATACAACAATCTCATCACTCAAGCCCTCCTCTTCCAAGTGGGCGACACCAACGACTACATGCCGCGAAACCAGACCCTCACTGAAGGCAACGACGACCAGGGCTTCTGGGGCCTCTCGGTCATGTCGGCGGCCGAGTACAATTTCCCGAACCCTCCTGCTGACAAGCCACAATGGCTCGGGCTGGCGCAAGCCGTCTTCAACACGCAAGCCGCACGATGGGACACGGAGCACTGCAACGGCGGTCTGAGGTGGCAGATCTTCAGTTGGAACAACGGCTACGACTACAAAAACTCCATCTCGCAGGCGTGCTTCTTCGCCCTCGGCGCGCGTCTTGCCCTGTACACGGGCAATCAGTCATACGCCGACTGGGCAGTCAAGACATGGGACTGGATGGTGGGCGTCGACTTCATCGACAAGTACTGGCGTGTCCTCGACGGGGCACATACGGGACCCAATTGCACAGACATCGTCCCGTATCAGTTCTCCTACAACGCCGGCGGCTTTATCCTCGGCGCCGCCGCCATGTACAACTATACCGAGGATTCTATGTGGAAAGACCGCCTGGACAATCTGGTCGAGGGCGCCAAGGTGTTCTTCACTGGGCCAAACAAGGATATCATGACAGAGGTTGCATGTGAGTCGGTCAATCGCTGCAACCTCGACCAGCAATCTTTCAAGGCGTACCTCAGCCGCTGGCTGGCTGCCATCACGAAATGGGCGCCTCACACGTACGATGTCGTCATACCGTACTTGCGGGCGTCGGCGGTAGCCGCCGCGAAGCAATGTACGGGTGGGAAGAACGGACGCCTATGCGGGCTGAAATGGACCACCGACGAGTTCGACGGCAACACAGGAGTTGGACAGCAAATGGCTGCAATGGAAGTGACGCTCTCGTGCATCATCAAAGATCGCGGGGCGCCTGTGACACACGACAGGGGCGGGACGAGCAAGGGGGACCCCGGCAGCGGTGGCGACGACGTGGGACGTAACAGCCCCAAGGGTCCCAACTTCAAACCCATCACCGCTGGCGATACCGCTGGCGCCGCCATTCTCACGGTGGTCGTCCTCCTTGCTATGATGGCGGGTATGTTCTGGATATTCCTGGACGAAACATCAGACCAAACGCCAATGCAGCAAGTCAGGGGCTTTCACGACCTCACAACGGCACAGATTGCTGCTCTCGCTGCCGGCGGAGGTGGTGCCGCGGCCTTCTGGAAGCGGAGAGGTGAAGACTTTGACGAAAAGACTGGCGCCGCAGTTGGCTCTATTAGCGAGCGGAGCTCTCGGTCGAGTGCGGAAAACAACATGATGATTGAAGCAGCCCCAATCAGAATCGGTGAGGTTCGCAACCAGGGCACCGGCAACCCGCGACGCCTATCCAACATGCCTCTGGGGTGGCCAGGTAACCCTTCCCTGCGTTCCAGCTCGACGTTTGAGCCGGGATATGCCCGACCAGTGTCGATGGGCGAACTGGAGGGCTCGACACCATCGAATGGCACCGGCTCGTCAGAGTCGATACCGAAACAGCCGCGAGCTACTGTAAGACGAAGGTAGATATCTGTACGATTCTGGAAGGCGTTTATTAGCACGCAAAAGGCGGTGTTCACGGGGTTTGGTGGTTTTGTTCCTTGCTCTTTCTCGATGCCGACCCGAGGCTATTCTGCATTCGTTACTGGAGTTGATTGGGACTGGCGCAACAGGCATACATTGGGTTACGCTTCATAAACGACGAGCTAGACCATTGGCCAAACAGACGGAGTTGGATCGGACTGTTATGTGGAGTTCTATGATACTGCGGCTCTAGGGGTTACAATCGGTTGGGGTTTGTTCTGTACAAGTCGACATGGGCCCACGGGTGGTAGATTATATATATATGGCAAGACACACAATACTGCCGTCATCGCTTCGAACAATGCAACTGTCATCTCCTTAAACATTCTTGTAAGTCTCAAGCACGCGTGCCCTTTCCCTTTCCAAAAACCGGTCAAAGCTGCTCAAGGGGACTCCCCAGCTCTTCACCTTGGCCATGTCAACAAAAATGCTCAAGTCCCTCATCATGAGCATTGCCGCGACCATTGGGTTTGCTCCCTTTTGAGCTTCTACATCTTCGTTCGTCATGTACACGGCTTGAAGATCACGCCCAGCAGCCGCAGAAAGCCTTGGCATGAGCTCCTTCAATGTCATGAACTGATCCGCAATCTCAATTTCCTGTTCATGGAACCGGGGTGGATCCAGCGCAGCGGCCGCAGCAAAGGCGCCAATGGTGACGGGATCGACCATGGGGAGGACGGAATCGGGAAGCAGCGCAGTGGACCAGCGGCCCGTAGAGGTGAGGCCGGGGTACATGCGCACAAGGGGCAAGGTGTAGTTGGCCATGAAGTTGCCAGGGCGAAGGATGGTCCAATGCGGAAAGCCGGCGTTTCGGACCTTGTCTTCGATCGCGGCCTTGGAGAGGAGGACGGCCGCCGTGAAGCTTTTTGGGTCCCAGTGCGGGAGGCGCTCGGGGTCGTTGACTGAAAGCCCGCTCGAGTAGATGACGTGCGTGATCCCGGCGGCTCGAGCCGCGGCGAGCAGCGAGTCGGCGTGCCGCGATTCAGCAGTCGGGTCGGTGAAGTTGGGTGATAGATTGAGGAAGAGAGTGGTGCAGCCGTTCATGGCGTCGTACGAAGCCGCGCCATTGTCGTAGTCGCCGTGGACGGTGGTCAGGGCGTCGCCGAAAGAGGCGGCGAGCTGCGTAGCGGCGTCCGCGGAGGGGTCGCGGACAAGGGCGCGGAGTGGCACGCCGTGGGGGGCGAGAGCGGAGGCAACGGCGTGGCCCTGAGTGCCGGTGATGCCGCAGACAAAGACAGTGGGCTTCGACATGGTCGTTTCGCTTCTGCACAGTGATTCAACGAGAGGTAGATGCTGTGAATTTCTGCAGGAGTAAATCACTCGTGTTCCATGTGAATGACCATGGGGTGTCTCTCCTAAAATACATCGAGATCGATGGCAATGCTTTGGATTGCCTCCGGAACTCCGTCTCGCGACGTTGCTGGCGGAGGTCAGAGAGCCACAATTGCGCGGACGTCCGCCGTTCCGGAGCCGCCCCGGGCGAGACACGCCGGGCACGCGAAGGCCGGCGATGGGCGGAGTTCCGCCCGTCTCCACTTTTCCCGGCGCACTTCCACCGCCAGGCTGACATGCGCCTGTCGCTTCCGCTCTCTGACCCTCACCGCGGCCCTCTCCGGGGACAGCTGCGCGAGGAGTGAAACGGTCTGAAGAACGATTCCATCGCCGTCATGTCGCTGACATCGCGGGAGCGCGGGAACCCGCCCCCTCGGTCGAAGAGCTGCGTGGCCTGTAGGAGGGCCAAACGGCGCTGCGACTTCGCACTCCCTTGCTGTCTGCGGTGCGAGCAGCGCGGCATCATATGCGACTATCCTATGCGCCCCGGCGGCGCCTCCGGCAGCTCCAGCCATCGACAGGCGCTACGTGCCTCACTTGAAGAGCCGAGCAGGGGCGGCTGGAGCGGCGTCGACGACGACCAAGCAACCATGGCCGCCGCAGCTCCGCCCGTGACCCCGCTGGACACTTTGGACTGCATGAATCTAGATATTGGCGCCCTGGACCCCATTACGACGACAACTGCCGCCAGTGATCTCTGCGCAGCGGATCTCGGCGACTTCTCCGACGTGTCCCTGCTCGGCTTCTCGACGGATGCGTCCGTCATTGACATGGACCTTGTCCACCAGCCGTCGGCGCTGTCTGCCCCGACAGCCCGAGAGTTCCAGGACATTGAAGATGCCATCTCGCGGAGGCTCCGATTTGCAATCGAAGAGATCCGGAAGACGCCTAGCATGATGATTGCCGAGACGCAGACGCCGTGGTGTCATCCCCTGCTGTACCGCGACGGCATGCCCCGATCTATACAAGGTAGCAGCACTCCCGTCCCCCCGGCAGATGTCTCCACCAACAGTCGAGTTTGTGTTAACATCATGCGACAGACGCGCACGCCGCCTGCGCGCTTTACGCGGCCAAGACCCGGGTCAACGCGCCCGTCATATTCCACGCCATCGAGGTCCGCGCATGCGACCTGCTCGCCACCCCTGCGCCGACGCGCTTCCTCGACGTGCTGGCGCACACGCAGGCCCTGATCCTGTATCAGATCATCCGGCTCTTCGACGGGGACATGCGGGCACGGGCGTCGGCCGAGAAGGCCATCCCCGCGCTCGAGTCGTCGACCATGGACCTACTCGCGCACGTGCGCTTCGACACTGTCGACCCGCCGGAGAAGGAGCTGCCGCTGCACCCGCTGGCTCCCACGCAGGCCTTCTGGCGGGACTGGATCCTGCACGAGTCGGCGCGCCGGACGTGCCTATTCGCCTTCTTCTTCCTGCAGGTGTACCGCCTGGTCTCCGGGCAGCGGGGCCTGACGTGCGACGGGAGGCTGGGGCTGTGCCACGCCTGGACGCTGTCGGCGTACCTCTGGACGGCGACCACGGCGGTGGAGTTTGCGCGCGCGTGGGGGGCCCGGCGTCACTTTGTGGTCAGGGACGCGCAGTTTGGGAACGTGCTCGAGGAGGCAAAGGCCGACGACGTGGACCGCTTCGGGAGGATGTGGATAAGCTGCCTCTTGGGTGTGGACGAGGCAGAGGGATGGTTCGCGTCGAGGGGAGGGTCGCTTAGGATGCTGGAGGTGTGCTGATGAGGTATCGGCGTTTGCCTGAGGGGGTTTTCTCTCGGATTTGCCAAAGAACTGCAGCCGCGAATGTCTCACCACCATACTCGTTCTATGTTTTCTGTGCATGAAAAGCCCGGAAGGCCGAGTGTCGCAGACTGTGGGATAAGGAATAGAGTAATGCCTGTCGAATGGGATGAGAGAAGGCATTGAGCTCACAGCGGCGTTCGAATGGAACGGGCACTGGTTTCAGTTATTGCGCCAGAATGACACTGTTGGTTAATAAAACCATAGATAGCACTTGACCTCTAACGCGCGCATAAACGAGCAATCTCAGCATTGTCGCCGGGGGTAATGCGGTGTTGGACCTAAAGCAAAGGTCAATGCATTCCATGTGCACTTCAGCACCCAGCGAGAGAACTCTAGTCGCAGTTACGATTTGTACCGAGAACATGTTTCTCAATTTTCCAGTGATTTACAAAAGTATCATGCACAAGATTTCGTGCGTAGCGTTTTGACATTGTTCCGTCATATCTAGTACAATTTAAGCATCTCGAAGTCAAACACGGTGCAGGGTAAGCGGGTCAGCCACCCCGGATCGGCACCTCTAGCGTCCCTCGGCGGCCCCTGTTGCGTCCGTTGCGCCCGTACAACCCTGAGATCCGACCTCGAAACAGCATCCTCAGCAGTCGTCGTCATCGCCATCATCGCCGTACATTGTTGCCGGACACAATTTGGCTTCATCACTCAAATGACACGCTGCCAGGGCACATAGGTCCTCCCAAGGCGAGCGACAAGATGCCTCTCCAGAGACTCGACACGAACCCGGCCGACCGCGACAACGGCTCCCTTCTCTCGCCGGTCGCATACGATGACGATGCATCCTCCATCTTCAGCCGGAGCGATCAGGACACAGATAGCGAAGATGACCAGCTGCAGCAGCGGGCTCGCAACAGCCGCGAGCTGCGAGCCCACGACCGGATAGTTCTGATGGAGGAAGACGACGTGGACCGGCTGGTGACCACGTCGCGCCGTCAGCAGGAACGTCAGCGCCGCAGTTCCAATCTGGCGGTTCCGAATCCCTTCAAGATGTTCGGCCGGCGGCCGAGCCAGTCGAATATGGCGGCGGCGGCGAGCTCAACCGAGTCGTTGGTCCTCGAGAAGAGGTCTGCGCGGAGGGAGAGGCGCAAGCAGAAGCGGGAACGACTGCTCGAGCACGCGCAGCATGGCGAAGACGGCGAGCTCATGTACGAGATGGAGGAGGGCGGGATGCGGGACGGCAGCTCGACGGGCGATACCACCGAACGCGAGGACAGCGACGAGGTCGACCGGCGGCGCCTCAACATGATGGCCAATGCAAAAGCTGAACGCGGACGCAGCTGGCGGCGCGCTGTCCTGATCTATACCCTCATCAGCATCGGCTTCGCCATCTTGGTACTGGTTGCCTGGAAGCTGTCGAGGAATCGCAAGTCTGCGGCTGTCAAGCCGCAGTTTATGAGCAACGGCACGGCACTCTTCGCGCCGACGACGATCATCATCAGCCTCGACGGATTCCGGGCCGACTTTCTGCAACGAGGCATTACGCCGCACCTGAATGCGTTGGTGAGAGAAGGCGTCTCTCCCAAGTACATGCTGCCGTCGTTCCCGTCTGTCACGTTTCCAAATCACTACACACTGGCAACGGGTCTGTACCCTGAAAGCCACGGCGTGGTCGGCAACACCTTCTGGGATCCTGAGCTCCGCGCCGAATTCTACTACACGGATCCGGAGCGTAGCCTAGATCCCAAATGGTGGGGGGGCGAGCCGTTCTGGGCGACTGCAGAGCTGCAAGGCATCCGCACCGCCGTGCACATGTGGCCGGGCAGTGAGGCGCACATCATGCACATCGAGCCCAGTTTCATGGACAAGTACAACGGCAAGGAGAAGTTGCCTAACAAGGTGTCACGCGTATTGGAGTTCCTTGACAAGCCGGGCAAGGAAGACAAGTCGGCCAAGGTCGGCGACATGCGGCCGCAGCTTATCGCCGCGTACGTGCCAGACGTGGATGCGGATGGGCACAGGTTCGGACCGAACAGCACTGAGATTCGGGCCACGATCGAGCGCGCGGACAGCATGGTTGGTGAGCTATACAAAGGCCTGGAAGCTCGCAATCTGACTCATATCGTCAACGTCATCGTGGTTTCTGACCACGGCATGGCCACGACTGATGTGACACGGCTGATGCAGCTTGAGGACCTGGTCGACACGTCCAAGATTGAGCACACGGACGGCTGGCCGCTCTACGGCCTCCGGCCAAAGGACGAGAAGGATCTACAGGGCCTCTACGACGGACTCAAGGAGAAAGCCAAGTCGAACCCCAACTTTGAGGTGTACTTGCGCGATGTCGACATGCCGGAGCGTTACCACTTCTCAAACAACCATCGCATCGCGCCACTATGGATTGTGCCGAAGACAGGCTGGGCCATTGTCACGAAGAAGGAATTTGACGTCAAGGAGGGCAAGGAGAAGGGCCTCGTCTACCACCCCAGGGGCCTGCACGGCTACGACCATGAGCATCCGCTCATGCGTGCCATCTTCATTGCCCGAGGGCCAGCATTCCCACATCCCGCCAACAGCGAGTTGGAGCCGTTCCGTAAGTACCCGTGTGCGAGCTGTTGCAGAGAAGACATTGGCTGACAAGAGTTGCAGAGAATATCGAGGTGTACAACGTCTTGGCCGACTCCATCGGAATGGTGCCCAAGCCCAACAACGGTACACTGCGCCTGCCGCTTAAACCCGTCGGCCAGCACAGGCCAGAGGATACGCCCGAGGTTCCCGCTGATCCGCCTCAGTCGTCGGAGACTCACTCGCCCTCGGACGCACCTCTGCGGCCGACGCACCCGGGACAGCTGACTGTCATTGAACGACCGACGCCTCCTGGACAACCAACCATCAGCGAGCGGCCGACGATACCCGCAAAGCCGACCAAGACGGAGGAGAAGCTGGGAGCAACACCTCCACCAAGCAATGATGACAAAGGCACCGACGATGACGACGATGACGACGACGGCCTGGTGGGCAAGGTCAAGGGTTTCTGGGACTGGTTTACGGGCAAGGTGGAGCACCTTTGGGACAAGATTGCGGGCAGCAAGTCTGACGAAGATGGAGAGAGTGGCTGAGGAAGAAGCCATCTGCATTGTTGCTTGAGTAGACTCTTATGTGATGGGCGTAGGCGTTTGGGTGTGCGGGCCTCAGCGACATGGCATTCTTAGTTGGTAGGCAGTTGACTTCATTTATACTCCGTTTCGCCGGGCCTGGCAGACAAGCGCGAAGCCTGCATTCCGCATATGATTTCGCCTTCGTTGCGGGTAGTTCAGTGAGGTCGACTTTACTCTGACTTGGCTCGTTCGAGGGTGACGGGCTTGGGCTACGGTTGAGACTTCCAGCCTGGAGGTGTAAGTTGGCGAACCTTGGAGGAGGTCGGGCGGGTGTTGCGTCACTGTGCTTGGGGGGTCTTTGGTTCCAGGGCCCGTTAGCAGGGCTCCCGGCAGGCTGTTGTGGGCTGCTGCGCGGGGCGCATTGGCGGGGCCTGACATCCACGGATGGAAGGGACCAATTTGGTACTAGTGGGGTGACAGCGCTCCCCAGCACCTGCCGCTTGAGTGGCTCTCTGACCCAGTCCAGGCACATGGCCATCCACGATAGGCGGGCACCTCAACTTCTGCGAAAGCCATTACCGACGCAGTGGATCGATCGTGCCCGGGCTTGGGCTTGCACTTTACACGACGCGTCGCCATTCCGCGCCGCTGCCCAAGCTCCTTGAGCCTCACTCCGCCACGACGCCTCCCCCGCTGCCTAACGGCAACTCGTGACACGACTACATAATACAGAGAGGCAGCGGTTCGACGCGTCTTGCGGCGGCAAATCACAGGCTGCCCAAACGCCTGGGAACGGCACAGCGAGCCACCTCGAAACGACCCGATTCGACCCCTCCAACGACGCGAACACCGACCCCCTCGCTTTCCCCCCCCGACGATTCGACGCCGGCGACTCATGCACCAGGGCCCCGTTGCCCAGAACGGATGCGTACAGCTCAGCCGCTGGCGGAGCAGGAGCGATGGCCACGGTCATGGCTGACGGCCAGACCCCAGCCGAGTTGGACGAGGAGCTGACGGTCCAAAGAGTCATCTTAGAGTCCCTCGCGGACCAGACGTTTGAGGGAGTCGAGGAGTCGAGGAGAGAGGCTGCCAAGGAGATTGAGCGCCTGAAGGCAATCATCGGCCAGTCGAAACAGTCTCAGGCACCAGCGCAACATGGCGATGTCTCTGGAGAGCTACGTGAGTTTCTACCACGCTCGGCACGCGCCTGTGAACCTCTGCACATGGTTTGCGATGAATCAGGGCAGGCCCGGGCCCCAAACACGTACAGAGGCAAATTGGGGTGAGCTGAAGCTGACCTTCGTGCAGTGGCCAACCGCAGACTGCCTGCACAAAGCCGCGGCCTCCCGTCAGCCTCGCCATATGCAACAGGCAAGTCCCGCTTCTCGCACTTTCCTTTCCGTCGTGCTCTTACGTCTTCTTCACACGCTTCGTGCGTGTCTTCACACAGTTGGCTGTGCTCCACCGAACCCTTTCCTGGCCGCTGGCTTCGTCTGGTCGCTGTTCACGCTGCACCGCACTCCTCCGTCACTGGCCCTTTTGGCGCCTAATCTTTCCCTTGGTCCTCCCGTCCCATCCAATGCTTCGCCACTCCCGTTGCAGGTGTCCCCTGTCACCAGAAAGCGCGCCGCACACGCATTCACGGGTCGACTCTTGCCAGTGCAGCTCCACCGCAAGCTGAAGAGCCCTGGGGGTAGTGCAGCACGCCACTCGTACTTAACCCGTGTCTTCTCGTCCACATCCTCACTTCGATTTTATTTCACGTTCATTTGCTAACTCTCGCAAAGCCAGCGAACCTCGCCCAGAGTCCCCTCCTGGAAATCGTCTCGCTCAACTCGCAACCGTGACGACACCTCGGAGACCGACCATGTCAAACGACAGTTGGGACAGTCCAGCGTCGCGGTCTTTGCCAAGCCGGAAGCGAGAACTAGCTTTCTCTGCCCGGGACGACTCACCGAAGTCCCGACGGACCTCTCCAGCTCCCGCGGGAACTTCGCGATCCCTGGTCTCGTCCCAGGATGTCGAAATAGTCGATCTGACAGGGTATGTGAAGTTGACGCGGCCATCATCCGCCGTGAGGCTAATGACAACCTAGGTCCGACGTCGAGGATGATGCAACATACATTGCTGAGCAAATCAAGGCCGAAAACAGGGCCAAGCAGGAGTTGCGGGACAGGCAACTTGCTCAGCAGCTGTCCCAGGAATCACCAGCTGGCCCTTCGTCGCGGCTCCCTTCGAACCCTGAAGGCCAAAACCCGCTGTCGAGGCTGATGGCCACCCAGCGGGCAAACTCACGAGGACTATCTGGGCCGTCAGATTCTATGGCTGGAATCAGTAGCCATGGCTTTGGACGGCCTGGCTCAGAGACCACGATGAACATGCCAGGGGCATATGATCCGAGCTGGGACACACCATATGGCTTTCCAGCGACAGCATCGCCTGCTCCTGGTCCACCGTATGCCACAGCTCCATCGACCCCCCGCGTGCAGACGGCCAATCCGCTCGCGGGAAGCTTCAGTGCAGGCCATCCGCCGGCTTCACTGACCCCGTCAAGTTTCGCACCGTCCCGCGCCTATGGCTCGGGCCTGAACCATGGCCTTGGGCCACACACAATGCCCACGTTTCTGGGTGCACCTCAAGCGGGGAACTTGGGCCTTGGAAGGGTAGCGAGCCTGCCATCCATTGGAGATCAAAACTTGATGGACATCATCAATCGCACGAGCCACTTCAACTACTCGACATACTCGGACGAGAATGGCCAACAATTCCCCGATAGACTCACTAGCTATCTGTCCGAGGCGTACCACGACCCAAGGGTCACTGAGAAGGAGCTGGATGACCTGCTTCAGAACATTCGACCAGATATGGATATCCCCGAACGCAATCGCAATGGGACCCCGACTGGGCTTAGAGGGGCACTCTATCTGCATCAAGAGCTCGCCCTGTCGTGGATGAAGAAGATGGAAGACGGCTCCAACAAGGGAGGCATTCTTGCCGACGACATGGGCCTCGGCAAGACCATCTCAACATTGGCCCTCATGCTGGACCGCCCGCAGACGAAGCGGCCCAAAGTACGTCTAGACCTTGGTGACGAGAATATCCCTGGCTAACAAAGCGATAGACAAACCTTATCATTGGCCCTTTATCCCTGATTCGCCAATGGGAAGATGAACTAAAGACCAAGACCAGACCCGCGTACCGGATGTCTGTCTTTGTCTACCACAAGTCCAAGAACGTCAGTTGCGATGATTTGCAACGCTACGACGTGGTGCTCACCACTTACGGGATTATTGCTGCCGAGTGGAAGCGGCTCCACAAGTTCCTGGAAGAGAATCGCGACAGGACCATCGACTTCAACGACCGCGCGAGCTCAACCAATTTCCCGTTGCTGCACCCTCAGAAAGCAGAGTTCTACAGAGTCATCCTCGACGAGGCGCAGCACATCAAGAACGAGAAGACTAAGACGGCAAAAGCGTGTCACAGTATCAAAGCGACGTACAGGTGGTGCCTCACAGGCACGCCGATGATGAACGGTGTGGTCGAGTTGTATTCGTTGGTGAAGTTTCTCAAGATCAAACCCTATTGCCACTGGGATAGGTTTCGAGAGTCCTTCGGAACACTTTGGGGGAAGCAGGGTGTTAAGAAGTCTGTCGCCATGGAGAGGCTGCGGGCCCTGCTCAGAGCCATCATGCTACGACGCAAAAAGGACTCTGAGCTGGAAGGGAAACCGATCCTCAACTTACCCGACAAGTCCGAGGAAGTCGTGCACGCGGATCTTTGCGAAGACGAGCGGCATTTCTACAAGCAGCTGGAGGAGAAGTCTCAGGTGCAGTTCAGCAAGTATCTTCGCGATGGATCTGTCGGCAAGAACTATTCCAACATTCTTGTCCTCCTTCTTCGCATGCGCCAAGCTTGCTGCCACCCGCACTTGAACCTTGACGTCGACGACGCCGCCCCACTCAGCGCCAACTCCGAGGACATGTTGGATCGGGTCAAGAGTCTCGAGAGGCCGGTCGTCGAAAGGATCAAGGCCTTGGAGGCGTTTGAGTGCCCCATATGCTTCGACGCCGTCCAGTCTCCTTCATTCTTCGTCCCATGCGGCCACGACAGCTGCCAAGACTGCCTCACTCGGCTGGTGGACAACGCCCTGTCCATGCATGTTCGGTCGGGTGAGGGTTCGAGCGAGGCCAGTTGCCCCGTCTGTCGTGGCTCATTTGACCCGAAGAAATGTTTTTCTTACGACGCATTTCGGACCGTTCACATGCCAGAAACGATCGTCAAGTCACAGTCGGACCCGGAAGACTCTGACAGTGGGGATGACGATTCGGACTCGGATAACGAATCCGACGCCGACGACGTTGACAGCAAAGGTAACCTTAAGGGCTTCGTTGTTGATGACGAACTTCACGAAGAGGATGACATGGCGGCCTGTGCGGCCGGCGGTGGCTCTGCGGATGCCCCTGTGAAGCAGAAGAGGAAGAAGAAGAAAGGAAAGAAGAAGGAGGATGAGGTGAAACCGTCGATGCTGAAGAGCCTCCGTATCGAGGCTGGAAAAAACCAGGCGGCCTACAAAAAGTACATGCGGTACTTGCGCAAGACCTGGATGCCGTCGGCTAAAGTTACTGCATGCATGGAGCTTCTTGAGAAGATCAAGGCCAGCAAGGAGAAAGCCATCGTCTTTTCTCAGTGGACGCTGCTTCTGGACTTGCTTGAGGTAGCCATGACGCAGGACAAGTCAGGGCCGAAGCCTTTACGCTACGACGGCAGCATGTCCGGCGACCAGCGCGCACAGGCAGCACGGGATTTTACGAAGAAGCCGGAGGCAACGGTCATGCTCGTCTCCCTCCGCGCCGGCAACGCGGGCCTCAACCTAACCGCGGCCAACAACGTCATCATCATGGACCCGTTTTGGAACCCTTACATCGAGATGCAGGCCGTTGATCGCGCCCACCGCATCGGGCAGACCAAGGACGTCAAGGTGCACCGCATCCTCACCCAGGAGACGGTCGAGGACCGCATCATGGAGCTACAGGAGCGCAAGAAGGCGATTGTCGAGGCGGCTCTTGACGAGACGGAGAGCATGAAGATTGGCCGTCTGAACGTGAACGAGCTCAAGTTTCTCTTCAACGGAAGAGACTAGGCTCCCACGCAGGAGACGGTCTCGCGCTATCAAGCTTAGGAACAGCATCGCGGATGCGCTCCCTAACTCTCTGTTTTTTTTTTCGTGTGTACATTTAGTTTCTCAGCGACCTGATAGAGCATGGCGTCGGCGCGAGAAGGCATGGTTTTCTTGCAAAGGGTGGTTGGCCTGGATTGCATGCGACCAGGGGATAGACGGCGCGGGCGGCATGCTTTGACTTGCATACGGCGAGATTTTAAGCAAGGCTCACCACCTGAGGCCCGTAGACTGGCAGGTTTGAAAAATTCGGCGGCGTAGACTATGCGTACCTTAACACATGATGATCACTGCTACTCTTCACGCATGCATACGACGCAACCGAGACGGCTCGGGACACCGCTGATTCATTACTGTCGTACTTCGTAAGGGTATATCCTGCCACGCATCGCGCCTAGTGAAGCCTCCTTAACCCCAAACTCTAGGAAATGTAGACCTAGAGTGTGACAGAGCATAAGAATAAACAGTCTCTCATTCTAAGCTCGTGTCCTCACAGAACCCGTCAAGCCATTCATCGAGAGCGGAGGCGTTCAAAATCACAAGACTGGGGTGGACCGAGTTGAGTCAACGTCATCGTGCTACGCGGTGACGGTGCCGGAGAGCTCGTCGGCCACATCCTGTAGTGTCCTGCTCTCACTGCCGCTCCCGTCCTTGGCCCACGTCCACGCCTTCTGACCGGCGTTACTGCTGCGCTCGCCGGCGGCGACACTCGTGAGGACGACGGTTGGCCTGGCGTCGACGTCGCGCACGCCAAGGTGCAAGCCGGAGTGATTGCCGACGACGTCTTGGATCGTCGTGCCGACGATATCCAGCGCCCACTCGACGTCGGTCGACGATGCGGCGAGCTTGGCAAGGTAATCTGTCGCGAGGGCGCGCGCGACGGCTGTGTGGATGTACTCAGAGAGGGTGCGAAGCTCCGAGTACCCGTCTGCGAACGGTGCCGCCATGGCCTGCAAGGGCGACGAAGGCGGGAGAAGTACATGGTAGTATGTTGCTGTAAAGGGGAAGAGGAACGTCCGGCCGCGGATGGTGAACGACGTGCCACCGAGAATGACGACCTCTACGGTAAACTCAAGAGGCTGGAGCATATTCCGGACGAGAGTCTGAGCGCCAGACTGCTGATTAGGGCCGCTGGCGCCGGGCTCAACAGCCGAGAGCTGAGGCGTGCGGAGTGTAAATGACGACGGCAGGCCAGCCTTTTGAAGGGCCCCGACGAGGCCTCCGACATATTCCGTGCAGGCTCTGATACTGAGAATGGATTTCATGCGCGCGATTATGGGTCGTAGAAGAGTGTAGGTCTGTTGGCCGCGAGCCCGCGAGACGTGAGGGGGTATGGGACGGGTCCTCAGAAGTTCGTTGTAACGGTGAGCATAGCTGAGAAGAAGATGCAAAGACAGCAGCATCATCTCCGTCGTCCCATTTTCTGGCAGCGCATCGTCTGGAGGTGGGCAAGCCTCGAGAGGCAGTAGCTCAATGCTGATCTTGGATGACTCTTCGATCTTGCACGTCAGCCGTGGCCCTTGTAGACGAACGTCGTATGCGGCCAGGGTGCGGGCCTCGCGAGTCAGCTCATGCCAGAGCTCCTGTGAAAATATGGTGTTGCGCGCTTCGAGCACACGAGATTCAAGGGAAGGGTCATCTGGGGACCGCCGCCAGGGGACCGATCGGCCAACGAGCTTGCCATCCTTTTCGTATGTGACAACGAGGCCTTCCGATACACCGCCAAGGCGGCCGAGGTCAAGCTCGATGGATCCGTCATCGCTTCTTCGCATGGGGGCCAAGCCGTTGCTCTTAAACTCGGGCGCAGCTGTTCTGGTCAGTAGGCGTACACCCTCTGCTTCGGCGGTCGTGTCGTACCTTCAGAGAACCCGAAGCGAACACCCAGTGTATGGCGCTCCTGAGGCACTCTACACATGGACCAGCCGGCCTTCTTGACCGCCATGACCTCCTCCCAATATCTGCTCTCCGTGTCCACCTCACGCTCCAGAAAAGAGCTGGCGGCCTCGGCAGCATTCCGGGTTTTGTTGATCTCCATCAAGGTCCAGCCAATGGCCACCTCTTCCTGAGCCTTTTCTTTGGCTTCGTCGACGCTAGGTTCGTCCAGTCTGTCGGCTCCAAGGGTGCCAATGCCCACCATGTCGCGAAGCTGCTGCGACAGGGTCACACTGGCCTGTGTCGGGTTCTGTTTCGAGAGGAGGAGGGAAAGGGTGTCGAGGGTCAGCATGGCCGTGTTACTTGCCATTCTGCGGTGTATCAGTACGCCTTGATGCCCGCTGAGGTCGCAGACAGGCACTTACTCGACATTTTTGAGAACCTCCATGCGGGCGATGTTGGGGTCCTTGCTGGCGGGGGCATCCTCGTCATCTGCAATGTCCGACATGTCCACGTCCTCTTGTTCCGCGTCATGGTCAGGGCTCTCTTCAGCCTTGATCTGTTCGCGCAGCTTGTCTTCTGTGAGGCTGCGAAAGCCGCCCGGGCGAGCATTGACGCGGGCGATGAACTCGGCGAGGTTCCTGGGCTGCCTGTCGGCGACGGGAAACGGCCGGAGCGAGAGCGGCGGGCCGGCTGTGGGTGCCATGGCTGCGCCCAGGGGTGGGAGGGGAGGGCGGCTTCAATGCTTGTTCCCCAAGGTCGCGAACAGAGGCAGAGGACTGGGACGCGCGTGGTGTGAGCAGCCAGGTCGAGCTAGCCAATGCCCAAGAAAGCAACGCGGGCTAGATGTGGATGGATGGATAGATCATGGCTGCGATGCCCTCTCCCGTTAGCAGGTTGTGGCAGAACACGAACGATGGAAGCTCGGCTGGGTTGGGCTGGGCTGGGTGGTGGGGCATCGCAGTGGCTGATGGCGCCTGTGGCTGGTGTGTATCGCTTTGGGCAGGCGGTGGGGAGGCGGGTGCTGGCCCCGCTGGAAGGGGGAAGGATGGGAGGGTGGGTGCGACCGCTTTGCGTGGGTTAGGGTGCGGTTTGACGCAGCCAATCGAGGAATTGGACAGGACAGAACATGCTCCGGCGAAGTGAGATATGTTTTTAAAGTCGATGACGGCTGCCCTGGTGCGCCCCGAGCATGCGCCCCTAACAGCGCGAAATCGTCGGTCTCGAGGTCGAGAGATGCCCGGGCTCGCTGCAGCGCGTGCTTCGCAAATCACCATTTCTCTCTCTTGTCTCCCTCATCCAAGCGACTAATACCCTGGAATAATGACGCAGCCGCGGATTGGACACGGGCGCGCCCATGGACGGATCCGTCCCATGCGATCCACCTGCAGCTCCGATGTGCCGCCGTCATCGGGGAGCTAGACCGCTGGCAGCTCGACGAGCCGCCAATAAGTTTGTCCCAGCAGGAAAATAGCTCTCTGGAAGCTTTGCCTTAGCGGCGGGTGCCACGCGCGTTGCGCTCCGCCGATAATGAATCCATTGCCTTGCATTGCATTAATTGACGCGCCGATAAGGGAAAATCTGCTGAGCAGCTGGGCTGCCCCTCGGTCGCAGTGACTGCCGCGTCCGCACGCAAAACCCCGCCGCTGCCACCTGGAGCCCCTCCTACCTCACGTTTAATAGGTACCTGCCGCCGGCCTACGCTTCCCGTCCTGCCGCCGGCGCGTCCCACCCCGCCAGCTGCCGCAGCACACATTCGCCAACCGCAGAGAGCATAAGATAAACCTGATTCACCTCCCTCTTGGCGTCTCGCCGCAGCCGTCCTCCTGCGTCATGCCCCTGTAGACGCCGTTTTCCCTAGACAAACATCCTACCGGCATCATTTTTGCATCTCTCCGACGCATCCTCGACTACTTGTGGCGGGCTCTGAAGCTGCCGGCCATCTCTGGACCGCTCCCCGCCACGACGACGACGACGACGAAGACGATACCGCCCCTAGACTCGCCCGCCGCCATGGCCGCCGCAGCGCCCAAGAAGAAAATCGCCGTCATGACCTCGGGAGGCGACTCCCCCGGCATGAACGCAGTCGTCCGCGCCGTCGTCCGAACCGCCATCCACCTGGGCTGCGATGCCTTCGCCGTCTATGAAGGCTACGAGGGCCTGGTCCGCGGCGGAGACTACATCAGGAGGATGGAGTGGCACGACGTCCGCGGCTGGCTGTCCGAGGGAGGCACTCTCATCGGCACCGCGCGGTGCATGGCCTTTTACGAGCGGCCCGGCCGCATGACCGCCGCCAAGAACATGGTCCTTCACGGCATCGACGCCCTCATCATCTGCGGCGGAGACGGCTCCTTGACCGGTGCCGACAAGTTCCGCGCCGAGTGGCCTTCTCTTCTCGAAGAGCTCGTGTCCAAGGGCGAGCTTACCAAAGACCAGGTTGCGCCCTATCAGCACCTGAACATTGTCGGCATCGTCGGCTCCATCGACAATGACCTCTCCGGCACCGATGCCACCGTCGGCTGCTACTCGGCCCTCTCGCGCATCTGCGAAATGGTCGACTACATCGAGGCCACTGCCTCGTCGCACTCGCGCGCCTTCGTCATTGAGGTCATGGGCCGCCACTGCGGCTGGCTGGCGCTTCTTGCGGGCGTCGCCTCGGGCGCCGACTTCATCTTCATCCCCGAGCGCCCTCAGCCGCAGGATTGGCGGGAAGACATGGGCAACGTGGTGACACGGGTAAGTGAATTACGCCAAGCTCACATTCAGCGCGGTCATGGAAAGGTTTGCTGACAATTTTCCACAGCACCGTAGCATGGGCAAGCGCAAGACCATTGTCATTGTCGCCGAGGGCGCCCGTGACAAGGACGGGACCAAGATTACTCCCGAGGACGTCAGGGATCTGCTGGCAAACAAGAGCGAGGACGGCCTCGGCCTGGATACACGCATCACAACCCTCGGCCACGTTCAACGTGGCGGGACGGCCGTCGCCTACGATCGAATGCTGGGGACCCTGCAAGGCGTCGAGGCAGTCCATGCTGTCCTTGAGGCCACACCCGAGACTGAGACGTGCTTCATCGCTATCAACGAGAACAAGATTGTGCGCAAGCCGCTAATGGAAGCAGTTCAGGATACCAAGGAGGTGGCAGCCGCGGTTGACGCCAAGGACTTTGAGAAGGCAATGTCGCTGCGTGACGCCGAGTTCGCCGACCAGTACTTCTCTTACCTCACGACCACCAACGTCATGGTCGCCGACCATAAGCTTCCGGAAAAGAGCGTAAGTCTGAAGAATAAAAGCGACTTGATGTGCGGCTGCTAATGAGGTTTTTGCAGAGGATGAAAATCGGCTTCATCAACGTCGGAGCGCCGGCCGGTGGCATGAATGCGGCTGTGCGAGCCGCCGTCGCATACTGTATTAGCCGCGGACACGAGCCCGTTGGCATTCACAATGGCTTCGCTGGCTTCGCTCGCCACCACGGTGACAAGCCCCTGGGTGCAGTCCGCCCCTTCAACTGGCTCGAGGTTGACGGCTGGGCCAGCAAGGGCGGGTCTGAGATTGGAACGAACCGGGAGCTGCCGTCTGACTCGGGCATGGATTTGATTGCCGACCTGATCGAGCAGTACGGGTTCGACGCTCTCTTCATCGTCGGCGGGTTTGAGGCCTTCCACTCGGTCGCGCAGCTGCGCAAGGCCAGGGAAGAGTACCCCTCGCTCTGCATCCCCATCTGCCTGCTCCCTGCCACCATTTCCAACAACGTCCCGGGGACAGAGTACTCGCTGGGCTCGGACACTTGCCTCAACGAGCTGGTTAATTACTGCGACAAGATCAAGCAGTCCGCCTCGGCGACCCGTCGCCGGGTATTCGTCATCGAGACACAGGGTGGCCGCTCGGGCTACATTGCGACGCTCAGCGGTCTCAACGTTGGCGCATCGGCGGTCTATATCCCTGAGGAGGGCATCAGTCTCGCGATGCTCAACGCTGATGTCAACCACCTCAAGCAGGAGTTCAAGAACGACAGGGGCCAGTCGCGCGCCGGCCGTCTGATCCTGGTCAACGAAAAGGCCAGCAAGGTTTACGACGCTAAGCTCATCGCAAGCATCATCCGCGAGGAGGCACACGACCGCTTCGAAAGCCGAGAGAGCATCCCCGGCCACGTCCAGCAAGGTGGCGCGCCGTCGCCCATGGACCGCTGCCGCGCGGTCCGCCTGGCCATCAAGTGCATCCAGCACCTCGAAGACTACGGCTGCCACGCGCACAACCGCGTCAAGAAGGACCCCAACAGCACGGCCGTCATCGGCATCCAGGGATCGGACGTTGTCTTCACGCCCATGAAGGACCTGGAGGAGCGCGGAACCGACTGGCCGAACCGAAGGCCCAAGACGGCACACTGGCTAGGCCTCCGCGACGTGGTAGACATGCTCGGTGGCAGGCCCGACTATCCCAGGCCGGAGCGGAGCTTGACCGGGCTGATTGCCAAGGACACCAAGCGCGGCATTGTCTGAGGGCCGGCTGGCGATTGCACATGAATTTGGAAAAGGAAAAGGATGGCCAAGACGAGGGTTTGGGGTTTTGCATTTTAGAGAAGTGCTCGGTCACTGCGGAGTTGGCGCTTTTGTTTTGTGCGTGTCTTGAAGCTCCAGAAGCCCTTCTTCGCCTCGGCTGACTCGACTCCTCGCCCTGCAAGCCCTGCGCCGGGGAACGTCCAGTCAACACGAACTCAGTCACCAACCGATATTGAGGTTTGAGCCTATTTGGAATTAGATTGCCTCGGCAACCGGGTCCTGCTATGCATTGTGTAACTGCTGAATTTCCGATAATGCACCTGCGCCGTGTGGTCGCAGTCTCAATCCAGCCTAATCCATGCCTCTGTCCTGAATATCCTCCTCTTTCTTTGTCCTTGTGTCTACTGGATGACCTTGATGCTCTGCCAGGTGCCGGACTGGTCACCGTAGACGTACTGTCTGGCGTCCTTGCCGGGCCCGTCGCCGCCGGCGTAGTCGACGATGCGGATGGCCCTGTAATAGGCGACAAAGGGCCCCTTCTTGAAGTCGGTGCGGCCGCCGGCCCAGTTCGCGACGCCATCCGTTGTTCCTGGACCGCCGGCTGCCCAGGTGCCGATCTTGAGCCTCATGGGTGTCTGAGGCATGTAGAGGCTGGGGCCGCTGGCCTTGGCGCGCTCGTAGTCGAGGTAGCGGACCTCCTTGTCGTCGATGAGCCACTTGAGGCCCTTGGAGTTCCACCGGAAGGAGTATTTGTGAAAAGCGCTCATCGGGTTGGACACGTCGTGGCTTCCGCCACGGCCACTGCCGTCTGTTCTGCCTCTGCTGAAGTAGGCGGACTGGACGTAGCTTGTGTCGGAGCCGACAAACTCGAAGTCGACCTACCGCCGTGTAAGCCGCTTGCCTATGCACGCCTTCACAAACAATGTATCATGATACGGGACGAGGACCCCCTTCCCCTCGAGCATACAATCTTGGCATCACATCCAGCCATCGCGGAGTGAGCAAGACTGCGAATGGCATGAAGCGAACATGCCGGGGGATCATGCCTGAGGTACTTTATGGAAGGAACGGGAGGCAGCTGAGTGTTGGCTCACCTCATCGAGATCGTCTGACTGGAGCGTAATCGCCGTCACGATACCTCTTCCGGGGGCAGCCTGGACCACTACGTCGATCTCGCCGAAGAAGACGTAGTCCTTGGACTGGAGGGTCGGCGATTGGTACGGCGCGCTGATATTAAACACGGCGCCCTTTTCGCTGTATGTGATCTGGTCGGCGCCGTTGAACACGCTGATTGCCGGGCTGGGGCCCCATGCAAAGTCATGCTCCAATGGATATTTGCCAAACGCAGGGTCGGGGGGGCAGCCTGTTTAATAAAAGCAACAGCTGGTCAGTCCATCTATTTATTTTATTTGTTTTATTTTTGTCCTTTTTTTTTTTTTTTGGTACTGTTCGTCGTGCTTGGGGTTGTGCTGCTCAGAGCTCCCCAGGCACACGCGGTGTAAGTGAAGCCGAGTCGGGGTTGCGGGGTGGGATGATGGAGGCGGGACTTAATTACTTTGCTTGGTAGGATCGCAGTCGGTCCACGTCTGGGCCGAGACGAGCGACAAGGCTGCTGCTGCAAGAGCCAGCGCGATCGACTTGGTGAACATGATGGGCGGGCGTGGGATGGCGGGCTTGCAGGTGCGCGTTTCTTGGGTTGGCTTTCCTTGAGTCCGGTGAGAGAAGGGAGGGGGACGGGCGGACTGAGGATATTAAAAAGTAGTCAACGATGCAGGCAGGTCTGCGAGGCCAAAGGGGAGGAGGAGGCAGACAGAGACAGACCGCCGGACAGTCCACGGGATGATACGGTCAAACGCGCAAGCGAGCGGCGAAGCAACGGCGAGCAGCGGGCCACGACGATGGGCATCTCCGGGATGTGGGCACTTTGTACTTTTGTACGAAGTCAATTGTAGGTCGCCGGGGAAGGGATGTTTATTGCGATTCCATCGTCCGTCCACCCTTTCCACGGCCCCCCGCCCTGTGCCCGCCCATCCATCCCACGTAACGCAACCCCGGGCTTCTTCTGGATCCAATCCATGGGTTCCACCGCCTGGCGTTCTGCTTGGCATGCCGACATGAGACGGCCCTTTTTGGGCGTTGGATACATATGTACGTCGGCGGTCCTGCACTCCTGCGTTGTCTTATCCGCGCGCTGGCGTTGCAGCCAGTTGCAGCAGCAGCACCACCACCAACCCAGCAGTGCTCAACACAGTCACAAGGCCCTTTCCCCCTTCTCGCCTTTGTCTAGCTCCCTCTGCTTTGTTCAGCTCGTCGTCTCAGGCCAGGCCCTCGAAACGTGGGAAATGGGGCTCGGGCCCGGGGCTGGCCTCGCCAAAGGGGGGGCTTTTTGCCGCATACAATGGCGTCCCGCGCCTTACTTCGTACGATGTTTACACGATACCGTACCCAGCCAATGGGGGCGGGCGGACACGGCTTTGTATGTCGTCGCACGGTTGCGAGGGGCGCCGGCTGCACGCATGCATGCAAGCACGAACGCACGCACGCACGCACGCACGAAGAGGGGCGGCGGCGGTTCCTGGCGCAACGGCGCTCCTCACCTCAGCCAGGAGCAAGCAGCCTTTGATGGCGAGGTGAAACGACAAAGATGCCCATCAGAGGGAGGCAGAAACTCTGCAGCAGTGCTCCTCCTTTCTCTCTCGCGCCTTGTGCTCGGGACATCCAGGTCCTATGGTACTTACCACACGGCGCCGCCATTCACAAAGACCCCAAAGTCTTGCGCGACGGCTCAGACCAAAAAAGCAATCCCTGTATTCGTAACAAATCCCGACTGGGCCGCAGGTGTCCGAGGCGCAATGCAAGGAATAGACTTTCGATAGTACTTGGTGCAAGTACATAGTCTGAGAGGCATGGAGCGAGTGAAAGGCGGACAAAGTCACAAAAATAGGCTCCGCCGTGCATCCCCCACACCACCACCCCTGCGGCGCGTGCGCTGGATCCCGATTCGAAGAAGAGCCGGTGCATGTGGCTCGATCGGCCTCCCCGTCCGTGTTGAGGGTGCTAGTGTCGCGCGACTGGCCCGGCGGGCTATCGAGGTTGCAGACGCCACGGAAGGAGGATAAAACAAACATGTGTCGCTCCACTGGCCCATGGTGGTGGCTACAGCGGCCACGGCACGGACGATGGAGGCACAGACAACGAAGACAAACGATGGCGACGATGGAAACCGACAAGGCGGAGGAAGATTAGGAGGGGATTGGGAGCAACCCGGAGTTGTCCCATGCGGGCGCACATGACGGCTTCTCTCGCATCTGCTCACAAGGATGCGCGTCTAAGTTGGTGGTTGGTGTTCCAGTGCAAGAAGTTGGCCGCGCGGGCAGATAATCGAGTTCTATCGATCGACAAAGGGGCGGAACATATACAGTACTTCGTAGATTTCAGACCGCAAGAATAACGGACAATCCTCAGCAGGTTTCAGGGTCAGCGGCGTCTTGAACGTCATGTCGCCAGCCGGCCCCGTCCGATACGAAGTATCTCGTACAAACAACAGCACCGCCAAGTGCGCGTGAAGGACTGCGTACGCGCACACGACGCAGGGAACTCAAACAACTCTTGCTGTTGCTGCTGAAAGAGGTAGTAGATTGTTTGCTGTGGACCAGAAGGGGGGGACCTTCAAATCTCCGTGCACCGCAATACCGATACCCCCGGCCCGCACGCTCCGGCCGGGTCGGCTTTCGCCTCGCCAGCGGGGTGGCCCCCTGGGGTGACCTGCGACAAGCCCTTTTACTTGATTGCGTTTTGCTTGCCTGTTTCGTGGCTTTGGGCCTGGGTTTTACGACAAGAGTCACAAGACAATGGTCTGATAACTTGGCGCTGCAACCAAACGACACGGAGAAACTCGCGCCACGACATTGTCGGTGTGAGTTTGCTTCGCGGCCTGGGCGATGGACAATCTTGCGCCTAGAAATTCTAAAGGGGGATCTTTTGCTCCGAAATATGAGCCGAACTGCCAAGCTTCAGGAATAGAGACATATTCGCGCGCCAGTTCTTCGTACTTGACGTAAAGGCAGGTGGTCGATGGCGGAGTTTCGTGGCATGGTCTGTTTCCAGCCGGCAGACGAGAGCCCCCACCAGTTCGTCTCGAGTGCTTCGCTACCTCTCAGGGCTGAATTACATGATCGCAATGCCGAGGTTGGCGAGGGTGCGTGCCTGCCCAGCCGAAAGTGAACGGCATGGGGACATGGAGTCTTCAAGCCATTGGGAACCCTGACACGTCCTCGGCGACTCCAAACAGACATGTCGGTTTAAATCGTCTTGACGCGCTCCCATACAGCACCATTGACGTGCGACGAAAATACTCTAATCCTTGTTTTAAACGGCCGTCATTGTGCGTAGAGAAACCGGGCTCTGCTCTTGTGCTTGATCCATCTTTCTCTTACTCCCTCCCTCCCTCCCGCCCTCCGCCGCACCGTTCTGTTCTCAACTGTCCAGACCAGAAACCGCGAAACGTGCTAATAAAAGAAGACACAGCCCTTTTTTTGGTCCCAGGATAGTACTTCGCCCGCCGAGGGTCATGATGTGTGAGTCTGTCCGTTAAACACTCGCCAGCCCGGAGTGTTCTACACACTGGGCGTGTTGGTCGGCTCGCTCGCGTCTGTTCGGGGGCTCCGGACGACAAACCGCACCGTCTTTGTCTTCTTGTTCGCAGACGGGTCCCTCTTTTCCATGGTCTCAGGGCTCCTCTTCTTGAACTCCTCGTCGTCGTCCCAATCGCGGAAAGAGGCGGTCGTGTGCCCCTGCGTCGATGTAGGCTGCGGCGTTGACATGGTTGTCGACATGGCCGTCGTCATGGTCGTCGGCGTGATGGGCTCACCCTTGTCGGTTTGGGGGCTCCGGACGACGAACCGCACCGTCTTTGTCTTCTTGTTCGCAGACGGATCCCTTCTTTCAACCTCCAAGTCTTTGTTGAGCCTCTTATAGACATCCCCATCATCTTCATCGTCATAAACGTGGGGGGCAGGTTTCTGAGTCGGAGTTGGCGGAGGCGTCGGCTTGGCTGTCGTCTTCGTCTTCGTTTGTGTCGTCTTCGTCGTCTTCGTCTGGGTCGTCTTCGTCGTCGTCTTCTTCTTCTTCTTGCCCTTGTGCTTTTCTGGGGACGGCTCCCGCTTGGACCTCATGTCCGGAGCGGGCGTGACCACTGGACTGACGGCAGTCGCCCTGTTCCTCTTTCTAGCATACGAGCCCTGGTTGTTGCCGACGTCTGGCCTCTGTTTAAGAGCTGCCGTTAGTACTGAATCTTCGTGGCAAGCAGGTCACTGGTGTGTGAGCCTCACCTTGAGCTGCTTCTCGCACGTGCAGGCCCTGCACTGCTCCATGTAGAGCGGGTTGACATAGTTCTCGCCGTCGCAACGCGCGGTAGGTGTGTAGCAAACAGCCGGGAACGTCCGTGTCAGTTCGCGGCCGCATCGAATGGAATACCATACACGCGACTGGCTGCCCGCCTGGCTGCCCGACTGGCTGTGACACATGTTAGCCTCCATTCCGTGTCTCAATTGTGGCCCCCCGGGGTTTGACGAGGATCGAGAGATTTCTTACCTGCCACTGCCTGGGACGGCTCTGGCGACGTTCTCTACACCGGCGCCCGAAGCATGGCGAGCGGCCGCGGGTGAGGCGAGGCCGCAAGTCAGCAGAACCGCAACCTGGGCGAGGTGCATTGTGGACGTGCTCGTGGAAATGGCTCCACGTTTAAATGTAGAAGCAGAACAGATTTATTGGCAGGAGTGTAATGGCTCTGCAAGTTTTCTTGGATCGGTTTAGGAATTTCCGTGTGCAAAAGTGTACGGTGTCTTGGCAACTTATATCCTTGGTCTTATCTGGGGGACTTGCGCAACGCGCACCTTCACGATCTATCCATGACCAAGTTGACAAGGCATAACAGCCTCGAAGGGCTCGCTCAATGGCGTGTGCGGCGGCCAAATAATCGGGACGTAGTAAGAATGAACAGAAATTCGTCATCACGGAGTCAACTCGTCGGGCAACGACGAGGGGAAAGCTGCCACGTGCTTGTTTCAAACTCGGGTTGTGGCATCGTGGGGCGCAAGACGGGCGAGTTTCACGATGGCGCAACTTCCGCTGTGAACTCAGAGCGTCCACCTTGATGACTGCCTGGTACGTAATGCTCGGACAACTCGGCCCTCTGAAGAATTACGTTTAGTACCGTAGCCCTTTGAACTGAGCGCGAAAAGGCCAGCCAAGAACTCGCTCGCAACCAAAACACTCGCTCTGGCTGCGGCGCGTCTGCTGGACCATTGCTTGACCGGATCCGTCAAGCTTCCGTAATGCGACAGCTTCCTCTTGGGACGTAAGCTGCGGTGGTTCTCCGAGGCACCAGGTTCGACGGCAAGGCGGCGGGCGTGTGGCGGCGTCCAATGGGCTTCGCATGGGTGCGGCATGACCGCGGCGCACCGCAGAGGCCGTGTCCGCCATTGGGCCCCCAACGGCTCAGGCGACGAGGCCGAGTCGTGTGATTGATTGGGCAGCTGCGCGAGTGATGATGTTCTGGATGGATGGATGGATGACACCGTCGGGGGCGGGCTGTGCTGGCCACCTGGCCTTGGGCGAGGCAGCCAGCTCGGCGGTCGCGGTCAAAGTCGATGATGATGATGGTGTCGATGGTGTCTTTGAAGTTGCCAGGTCCTTCCCGGTCAAAGGGTCGCCTACCAGTGGTAAAAGGCGCTATCCTTCACAAGGCACGAGGATGATGAAGGCATGTCCGGGCCTGGTCTTGGCCTGCAGGCGCCGCGCGCGTGCAGTAGCGGTGATCGGCCCCCCGTACGGTACGTTGCGGCACTGCTGCAGGCGTTCCATAGGTACGATGGAACCTACAAGCGGCTGCCGACCTGCTCAGCCCCGTCCACCCTATTTCGTCATTTCTCTCTAGGTATCCATCTTCCCCCCTCACCATGACCACAGGGAAAAAATAAGGCGTTGCAAGGAAACTTTCCACCGTTTTTTAAACATCGCCGTCGCGGCGGCCCGCTGCCTAGCGCTTCTTGGGACGCGGGAGACCCCGCCCAACGCCCCTCCATCTCTGCCCGCCCTTTGTGGGACGCCGAAAGCCCCCCATCGCCGCCAACCTAACCATTGCTGCCCTGCAGTTGTAACGCCTTTCCCCCCCTCCGCTGCGCTGCCTTGGTTTGTTGCGCACCCCCGGCCTGGTGACGACAGGACGCCTGTTGACGTACCCCTGCTCGTCCTCACCAAGGCCCCAACTCCGGGGAGCCTCAGCTCAGCCCTCGACCCTCTCTCCAGCCTCCCACCCTCCCAAAGCCCCCTCGGTCGGCTCCCTCTAACCGCCATCAGCCAAGTCCGGCGGTAAACTGCTTCCCTTTTTCAACCCCATCCATCGCTTCCATTTCACTGTCGCCTTCACTTTGGCCGCTTTCACCCTTCGTCTTTGTCGCCTGGCCCTGTCTGCCAGTGCGGCTTCCCCCCCGCGGCCTGTGCCCCGCGTCATCCAACCCCTCCGCCAGCCTTTGATCTGCTCAGCGTAAGGTACTGGAGCGTCTCGCCCATCAGCCGCAGCACGGCCAGCCTCCGCCGCCTCTCACAACTCACAACGACAAAGGCCGCACCGTCCTGAAACCAACATGGCGCAACGCGGTGCAAGAATGACCGAGTTCGAGGAGCGCGACTATTACCCGCCTCCTCGCCGTTCTGCCCCCGAGTTCGACGACATGGAGTATCGCATGTCACGCGTCGCTACAAGAAGCCCGCCTCCTCGTTCCCGCTCGCGCGTGGCCGTGAGGGACGAAGAGATAGACGTCCGCGTACGTGAGAGAGACACAAACCGCACCCCAGCTTTCCTCCGCGAGGACGCTCGCCGCACCGAGGCCGGTCCCATGGTGCTCCGCCAGCGAGACGTCGAGACTGTGGATAGGCACCGCCGAAGCCCCAGTCCCGTGCGTTACCGAGAGGAGAGACTCGTCCGTCGCCCCAAGAGCGTCTCGCCGCCACCCATGCGCGAGGAGCATGAGCATCTGCGGTTCGTCGAAAGAGAACGGGTCAGGAGCCCTTCCGTCGTACGCCGCAGATCTCCCTCCCCTATACCCGTCAGATTCGTCGAGCGGCCCCGTCGCTCACCTTCTCCCCCAGCTCGTGAGCATATCCATACGAGGATAGTGGAACGAGAGCGAGAGCGCATGCCGTCCCCGTCTCCGTCACCACCTCCTCCGCCGCCCGTCATTCGGGGGCCGACGGTTGAGCGGGAAGTCATTACGCACTACACAGATATTGACCACGGTATGCCATCCGCCATCCAAATGACTGACCACGCAGCTGACAGGGTCTTCAAGGAGTCTTGCGAGCAAAACGGCCGAGCCCACCACCACCACCACCGCCGGCGCCCCGATCGCGTCCGAGGGAGCGCGAGACGGACATCGACATCTCGCTGTCCAAGAACCGCACCGAGGTGGACATTCATCGCTCCAGCAGCCGGGCTCGCTCAAGGAGCCGAGAACGTCGGTCGCATTACCACGACGATGACCTCGACGTCGTCGTCCGTCGGGACGACCATCTCCGCGTTGATGAGCGCTCCAAGCGGCACCGCCGGGCGCACTCGGCTGCGCCGCTCGGGTCGCCCGTGGACGAAGAATCCGATTACATCACCGGTAAAATGGACGCTCGTGGCCGCATGGGCGAGGCCCGGGGCGGTGCAACCAAGGACTGGACCATCGTAGACGTGCCGCCCGGCACCGAGCGAGTTCGCATGGACGGCATCGGGGGAGCCAGCACAGACACCACCTGGTCACGATACAGCGGAGTGCGACGTACGCAGTTCATTCCCGAAAGAGACGGGGCTGTTGTCCCGCGAGCGCCGTCTCCGTCTCCCGGCCCGACGCGGGGCCGCACCAGCGTAGCCGTTGATTTCAACAAGACTACGGAAATCGACGTCGATATTGACCGCCGAATCACCAAGAGGCCTGGCCCTCCGCCTCCTCCACCACCAAAGGAGATGTGGACGGAAATTACCAAGGACCTTGTCGTGCGCGAGGCCATCGAGCAGATGGGCTACGAGTATGAAGAAACCAAGTGGTTCTTCTACATTATGGATTATTTGCGATATGTGAGTCTTCTGGTTCATTGGAGATGTAGGGCATGGAGCTGACCGTTTCTCCAGGACGACGTGTTGCAGCTCACCGAGCTATCGGAGCGCATCCGCTGCGCTCGCAAGACACATGAGATCAGGTGGGAGCGAGATTACTACGACGAATGGGATCACCCGTACCGCCGCCATCACCACGAAAACCACCATCACCACCGGCACCGAGGATGGGATGACGAGAGGGTGCGGGAGCGGGAGGTGATCTATGATAGTCGCAGGCCCGCGAGGTATATGTATTGATGCGACGACGACGACGGCGCTGCTGTGTGGTTGAGTCACCGCTCCGATTGTCGCCGGCGGTGTCTTGGATCAGGAAGGCCGGCCAACATTGCCGTTATTCAAAGGATCGGCACTTCTTAGGAGGAGCAAGGGGGGCTGGAGTGTACAGGGAGGACTGGTGCACCATCTTGTCTGGAATAGGATCGCGGGGGATGACGATTTATGGGCTCTAAGCGTGTCACGATTTTATGACCAAGACTATACACATTCATAGCGGGAGGAAGTGCGACGGCGCAAGATTGTCAATGTAGCATAGATTGTCGAAAGACTGTTGTCAAAGAAGGACGATTCTGAGGTGTGGAATCACATACCCTGCCGGGATAGCCGGGTGAGGTCATCCCTCAGCGCCGGCATTGACTGTCCTCTCCCACTTGTGAGATTGCACAGTCAGTCCGCAGGCGAAGATAAATGCAGCTGAAGTTGGCTGATATGCAATGCAATGACACGCGCGTGCACATATGCATGAAACATAAAAGAGACAGCAGCAGCAGCAAGGAAGGCCATGATGGACGAGCAACGGATCGGGGCCTCGGATGCGACGCTCGCTGCGTCCGGACGGCACCGGTCATCGGCGGCAAATTGGGGGGCGGAACCCCACACGGATGCACTTCAGCAAGGCATCAGACCACTAGCGAGGCGGCTCGCCTCACTCACAGGGCGCGCCAGGCGGTTGACCTGCACTTTGACGTGCCCGCGGGGTCCCACTGCCAGGCCCTGGGACGGGGCATCTCAGCGCCTGTGAAGATATGGAGGTTGGAGCCCTGGGCTGTAGGCGGAGGCGAATCGCAGGCGGCTGAAAGGGCATTACGGCGCTGGAGACTCTGACTCAGACGCGGGGACGCCATGGGCGGGCGACCACCGCCTGCTGAGGTGCTGCTCATCGCTGACTGACTGACTGAGGTGGTGACTGCCCGCCCTGCCCTCCGCGAGCGGCACCGGCACATGCAATGGAAATGAGGGTCCGCGCAGTGACGAACCACCAACATTGAGACGCCAACGCCTGACCTCAAAAATCATTCTTCCCGCTCCCCAGCTTCCCTTCCCGCAACGCCACCCAGTTTTCTACGTCACGCCGCTACCCAGGAACTCGGCGACGAATTCAGTATACATTTTCTCTCTCTCCTCTTGAAGGAACCTCACCTTTGGGCTCGTCCCTGTCCCGTGTTCCTCGACTTCTCCCCCAGCCGACTCCCCCGGTCCTGCCGCCGCGCCTCCGTCATCGCTCTCCCGCTGCCCCGCCATTTTTCGTGATTCAAGATGCCCATGTAAGTGCACCGTCGGCGCAGCGTCCCGGCGCCCACGACTGTTGCTCGCAATTGAGACTGATCGGCTTCGCCTCGCCCGTGTACAGGCTCAAGGAGCCGTGGAAAAAATACAAGAGATTCCAGCCACTGCACCTGCCCGACCGGCAATGGCCCAACAAGACGGTCGACAAGGCCCCGCGCTGGTTGGCCACGGACCTTCGCGATGGCAACCAGAGTCTGGTTGACCCCATGGTATGCCCTTCCCTTCCTCCCTGGCGATGCGCGCAGCCCTGGCTCCGGCTGACGAGCGATCAAGAACGGCGAGGAGAAGTGGCGCTACTTCAAGATGCTCGTCGACCTCGGCTACAAGGAAATCGAGGTCTCGTTCCCCTCTGCTTCGGATACCGACTTCGACTTTACGCGTCGTCTGATCGAGACGCCCGGCACAGTTCCCGACGACGTCTGGCTGCAGGTTCTGTCGCCTTGCCGAGAAGACCTCATCAAGCGCACCGTCCAGTCCCTGAAGGGCGCCAAGAAGGCCCTCGTCCACATCTACCTCGCCACCAGCGAGTGCTTCCGCCGCGTCGTCTTCAGCAAGAACAAGGAGGACACCTTGGCCACGGCTGTCCGCTGCACCAAGCTGGTGCGTGCCCTGACCAAGGATGACCCCTCGCAGTCGGGCACGGAGTGGGCGTTCGAGTTCAGTCCCGAGACCTTCTCCGACACGGAGCCCGAGTTCGTCATCGAGGTTTGCGAGGCCGTCAAGGCTGCCTGGGAGCCTTCGGTCGAGAACCCCATCATCTTCAATCTGCCCGCCACAGTCGAGATGTCTACGCCCAACGTCTACGCAGACCAGATCGAATACTTCTGCCGCAACGTCACCGAGCGCGAGAAGATCTGCGTCTCTCTGCATCCGCACAACGACAGAGGCTGCGCCGTCGCGGCCGCCGAGTTGGCCCAGATGGCCGGTGCAGACAGAGTCGAGGGCTGCCTGTTCGGCAACGGCGAGCGCACCGGCAACGTCGACCTGGTGACCCTGGGCTTGAACCTCTACACCCAGGGCATCCACCCCAATATTGACTTCTCAGACCTCGGCAGCATCATCGAGACGGTCGAAATGTGCAACAAGATCCCCGTCCACGAGCGTGCCCCGTACGGCGGCTCCCTGGTGGTGTGCGCCTTCAGCGGCTCGCACCAGGATGCCATCAAGAAGGGGTTCCAGCTGCGCGAGAAGGACAACCTGGGCTACGAGGACCGGTGGCAGATTCCGTACCTGCCCCTGGACCCGCAAGATATCGGCAGAACATACGAGGCAGTCATCAGAGTCAACTCGCAGAGTGGCAAGGGTGGCGCTGCCTGGATCATCTTGCGCCAGCTCCAGCTCGACCTGCCCCGCGGTCTCCAGGTTGCCTTCTCCAAGGTCGTGCAGAGGAAGGCCGACGCCCTCGGCCGCGAGCTGCGGCCGCAAGAGATTACGGAGCTCTTCGAGCAGACGTACTTCCTAAACTCAAACCCGCGGTTCGGCATCGTCGACTACAGCATCATGCCCGACCGCACCACGTCGCCTGCTCCTCCGGCACCGGGCAAGACTCAGGACACTAAGGATCTTAAGCGAGTGTTTGACGGTGTCATTGTCTGCGATGGCAAGGAGTACAAGCTGCGCGGCCGCGGAAACGGCCCCATCTCCAGCTTGGCCAACGCCCTCCGGAGCGTCGGCGTCAACTTGGACGTTCAGGACTATAAGGAGCATGCCATCGGCAAGGGCCGAGACGTCAAGGCTGCAACATATATCGAGTGTACGGCCGCGGGCAGCAACACCAAGGTCTGGGGCGTCGGCATCCACGAGGACGTGGTGCAGAGTTCGTTGATTGCTCTCCTGAGCGCGGCCAGCAACGTGAGTGCTCCCCTCTTGAAACACGGCGCAGAGTTCGCGAGCAGGTTGGGCCCGACTGACACAGCAAAATAGTTTGCCTCCAGCCGCCCAGGCAGCCCCTTTGTTGCCCGGCCCGTCAGCCAGGGCGCCGAGGTGACGGAGCTGGAACTGAACGGCAACGCCGACGGTCCGTCCAGCGTCGTGAGCGCGCTGGAAGCCAAGGCGAACGCCATGTGAGCGGGAGGACACCGGGCTGAGTGCAGTGGTTGAATCAAAAGGAGTTTGTCTTGTTGGTTAAGTCAGAGGAAGACACTGAACACTTCTTACGAAGCATTCGTACTACTAGTATACCTGTCAAAATCGGAGAGCTGTATGTTTTATCAACCGCTGGTAAACGCGTGGTTGGCAATGATAGTCGACTTCGCGTGAGGCACGACCGAACTCGAATTCTTCACAGGTGGAACTGCCCACAGCAAAGACACTGCGGGGAGGGCAACCGCGCGGATGCTTCTAGCATCTGTGGTTGCCGTGGAAGCGGTGGGGGCAGTTGAATTACGACGGGGTACAAAAGCAAACCCCGAGAAAAACATTTACGTACAATGGCAAGTCAATGAGGGATAAGATCCACGAGCTGTATGTACTTGTACATCCAATGTCGAGCACGTCAGACGGCGCGGGGCCATCGTTCAGCACACGGGCAATGGCCAGCTGCTGGGTGAAGCAGTCGAATGCATTCTGTTTCCTAGCGACGGCCACGCGGGCGAAAGAGTCTGGACTTGATACCTCCGGCGCAGCAGGTTCGCACAGGTAGGGCGGTCTCGGGTGCTGGGGCCGCCTTGTCTCTGCTGGCGCCCGAGGTGCCCGCCGCCGTCCATGACCTGGTACCAGCTTTACAGTGCTCGCAGCGAGCTTGCGGGTGTGGATGGCGCGGGGCGCGCACGGTGGCGAGGCGGTAGGCGGGGCGGGCGAGTGGAAAACCTCTCGTCATTGAGGCGTCGAGTGGGGGCAGGGTGGAGGCGTGATTGGCCGTTGGCAGATCCAGCACAGTGAAAGGGCGGACGGTACCTGCGCTCGCAGCAGACGGGACAGATGCGAGCGGGCAGGGCGGGCACCTCAGTCTTCGCACAGCACAGGGGCACCCTGTAGGCGGTTCGGCCCTGAGCTGGGCTGCGAGGGACCCTGTGTGCATTGGTCCGTTTGCATGCCCGGAAATGGTGGTGGCCTAGATGGGTGTGTGAGCCACGCACGGTGGCAGACCACTGGGCGGGCGGGCAGCCGCCGCATCGACGGGACGGAGGCAGACGAGTCCGTTGGATATTTTAGTGAACAACGGGCATGCATTTCTTGTCGCTAGCTTCGCAGCCGGGAGAACCGTGACTCCTAGTAAATGGTGCCTCCAGGTGCCTTATTGTTCTCATTCTCTAGGGGTCGCGCGGATTCCAGGGCCGTCCCGTGTCTCGCTGCTGCCCGTTTCTCTGGTACGCAGGCAGTTGCGCCAGCGACTTTGGCACCGTCTCGTACCCCGATGGGGGAGGATGTGCACCGTAACCATGCAGTTTGACACCGGGCTCACACCGGAGGCAGCGCTGGAGACGTGCGACACTAGCGCAAACTCACGGGACAGTGAATGAATCCTTTGACTGAGCTGGGTGGTGGGAATGCAGGCCGTGTCTCCAGCACGCCAGGACGGGCAGGTTGCCTGTGTGAAGATGCATGTGGGAAAGGTGCGCTTCCCCTATCGTTTGCTGCAATTGAGTTCAGCACAGGGCGCAGGCGCTGTGGGTAGCGCCCTACCTGCGAGCCCAGAGCCCATGCGCCCGCGCACCTCCAGTCCCGCCAGTGAATGGCCGCCAGCTAGTGGTGTTCAGCTACCTAAGGTACCTACCGTGCTCGAGACAGGCACCTGGGCCTCCATCCCTCCCCCTCCCTCGTTTTTGGGTGCGGTCCAGTTAGTCTCGCCGCCTGCAGACGCCTTGAACGCGACCCTGCAAGCGCTTTCCCCCTTTGCCGACGAACCCTCTGAGGTACCTGCGCCTTGGACTCGGACCTGGACCCATCCGACCTGAGTGTGAAAGCGCGCTCTCGCTCGACTCCCGCTTTCCCTCCTCTCCCTGCTGCCCACCGACGTCGAGCCAAAAACTTTCTTCCAGCTTCATCATCGTCTTCGTCTTCGTTCGCCTTCGTCCAGTCCTTTTCGGCCTCAGGAGCTCGAGCCCTGGCATTCCCTCTCGTTGCCGTGAGAAGACGACCGACGCAGGGCCACACCGCCGCCCGCACCTCGACAGCTCCCGCCCGCGCGCCGCCTCCGCCGCCCGCTGCCGCCGCCGCCGCCTGCGCCTGGAGCCACCCCTCGCTCCTCTGTTTTCCTTCAGATCCCTCCCCCTCCACTCTTCCCCCGCGGGCCGACCGACTCACAGCTGCTCGACCTTTTTTCCTCTGCCAAACCGTTTACCACCCCCCACCGCCCCGGCCGCGTTTTCGACTCCGCCTTTGGGACAACCTAGACACACGTGCGTGCGCCGCCTTGGGTGTGTCCCTCCTTGCAAAAACCAACAAAACATCACGCACACCACGCACCACAAGGGGCCGCCGCATGACAAGACGCTCCGCGACCCGCAACCATGTCGAGCTCAGAGATTAATCAGGTGCTCGCCAACTCGCTGTCTCCGGGTGAGTCAAGTTCCCGCTTGCCGTGGCCGCTGCTCCCTCGCTTTCTCTCTCGCCTGCAGGGAGGGGAGGACTGAGGGCAGCCTGTGCCACGCGCTGCTGCCTCGTCGTCTCTGTTCCACGTCGGAGACCATCGCCGTCCACGACCCCTTGTGCTAACTGATGGCCCTCGTTGCCGCCCACAGACGCGAACCTGCGAAACGCCGCCGAGCAGCAACTCCACCAAGCCTCCGAGAGCAATTTCGTACGTCCCTTGCCGTCCTGGGCTTGATGCCACCTGTACTAACCGCTCCTTCGCCCTGCAGCCCCTTTACCTCGCGACTCTCGTCCAAGAACTAGCAAACGAGCAGGCCGAGAGCTCCATCCGAGCCGCGGCCGGTATTGCCCTCAAGAACGCCTTCACAGCCAGAGATTTCGCCCGCCACCAAGAGCTGCAGGCGAAATGGCTGCAACAAACGGACGACGATACCAAGAGGCGCGTCAAGGAGCTGACGCTGCAGACGCTCTCCTCTTCGAGCGCCCAGGCCGGCACCGCCGCCGCCCAGGTCGTCTCCTCCATCGCCGCCATCGAGCTGCCCCGCAACCAATGGAATGACCTGATGCCTTTCCTCGTCAAGAATGTCAGCGAGGGCGCCGACCACCAGAAGCAGGCATCCCTCACCACCATTGGCTACATCTGCGAGAGCCAGGACTCGGAGCTGCGCCTGGCCCTCGTGGCTCACTCCAACGCCATCCTCACGGCCGTCGTGCAGGGTGCCCGCAAGGAAGAGACCAACCCCGAGGTCCGCCTTGCCGCCATCACAGCGCTCGGCGACTCTCTCGAGTTTGTCGCCAACAACTTCAAGCACGAGGGCGAGCGAAACTACATCATGCAGGTCGTCTGCGAGGCCACTCAGGCCGACGACTCCCGCATCCAGCAGGGCGCCTTTGGCTGCCTCAACCGCATCATGAACCTGTACTACGACAACATGCGTTATTATATGGAGAAGGCCCTCTTTGGCCTCACCATCCTCGGCATGAAGTCGGACGACGAGGACGTGGCAAAGCTCGCCGTCGAGTTCTGGAGCACCGTCTGCGAGGAGGAACTCTCCATCGAGGACGACAACTCCCAAGTGGAAAGTGCCGATCAGATGCGCCCATTCTTCAACTTCGCCCGCGTCGCCGCCAACGAAGTCGTCCCCGTGCTCCTCATGCTGCTTACGAAGCAGGACGAGGACGCCACCGACGACGAGTACAACCTGTCTCGCGCCGCGTACCAGTGCCTGCAGCTGTACTCCCAGGCAGTCGGCGCCAGCATCATTGCGCCCGTGCTTCAGTTTGTCGAGGCCAACTTGCGCCACGAGGACTGGCACAACCGAGACGCCGCTGTGTCGGCCTTCGGCGCCATCATGGAGGGTCCTGACGAGAAGGTCTTGGACCCCATCGTTAAGCAGGCTCTTCCTATCCTGATCTCCATGATGGAGGATCAGTCACTCCAGGTCAAGGACTCGACCGCCTATGCTCTCGGCCGCGTTACCGAGGCCTGCTCTGAGGCCATTGACCCCAACCAGCATCTCCCGACCCTAATTGAGTCCCTCTTCAAGGGCCTCCTGAGCAACGCAAAGATGGCTCCTTCCTGCTGCTGGGCTCTGATGAACCTTGCCGAGCGCTTCGCCGGCGACATCGGCTCCGCCGCGAACCCCATCACGCCTCACTTCAACCAGGCTGTTAGCTCTCTGCTTGATGTCACTGGTCGACAGGAGGTCGATACTTCAGTCCGGACGGCGGCCTACGAGGTTCTCAATGTCTTTGTTCAGAATGCCGCCACCGAGAGCCTTCAGGCGGTTGCCTCCCTGTCCGAGGTCATCCTCAAGCGACTGGAGGAGACTGTGCCGCTTCAGTCCCAGGTTGTCAGTGTCGAAGACAAGATTACCCTCGAGGAGATGCAAAACAGTCTGTGTACCGTCCTGCAGGCCATTATCCTGCGTCTCGACAAGGAGATTGCTCCTCAAGGAGACCGCATTATGCAGATTCTCCTGCAAATTCTCAGCACTGTGGGAGGAAAGTCGAGCGTCCCCGAGGCGGTCTTTGCCACTATCAGCGCGCTGTCCACGTCGATGGAAGAGGACTTCATCAAGTACATGGATGCCTTCTCACCGTTCCTGAACAACGCCCTTAGCAACCAGGAGGAACCCAGTCTCTGCTCCATGGCTATTGGCCTCGTGAGCGATATCACTCGCTCCATGGGCGAGCGCAGCCAACCCTACTGCGACAACTTCATGAACCATCTGCTCAACAACTTGAGGGTCGGTAGCCCACTCTCCGATGGAGATGCTGACGCCATCGATGAGATACATGCAGCTAACGTATCCTTACTTCAGAGCCCGACGCTTTCCAACCAGTTCAAGCCTGCTATTCTGCAGTGCTTCGGCGACATTGCTGGCGCCATTGCCGGCCACTTTGAGACCTACCTGTCCGTCGTGGCACAGGTTCTGGAGCAGGCGTCCACGGTCACCGCCGCCCCTGAGGGCCCGTACGAGATGTTTGACTATGTCGTCTCACTGCGAGAGGGCATCATGGATGCTTGGGGTGGCATTATTGGTGCCATGAAGGCCAGCGGCAAGAGTATGTGCACCCATTACCAGTCTACTATACTGAGAGCTAACACTATCGCAGCCCAAGTCCTCCAGCCATACGTCCCCACCATTTTCAGCCTTCTCAACAGCATTGCCAGCGACATGAACCGCAGCGAGGCCCTGATGCGCGCATCCATGGGCGTCATCGGGTAAGTTCCAGCAGCACTCACCCCCTCTGCAAGCAAAACTTGACGCTGACTCTTGGACGAAGTGACCTGGCTGAGGCCTATCCCAATGGCGAACTCATCGACGCCTTCCGTCAGGACTGGCTGACTGCCATGATCAAGGAGACCAAGACGAACCGCGAGTTCCAGTCTCGGACGATTGAGACGGCCCGATGGGCTCGCGAGCAGGTTAAGCGCCAGGTCGGCGGCGCACAGGCCGTCATGGCTCAGACCTGATCCGGTCACGACTCCATCGCAAAGTCATGAGCTCCGACAGCCACGTCCAGCCTGCAGCCAGTCCGCCGGTTCCCCTGTGGCGATCCTTTTGGGACGTCAAATACCCCCCTCGCACGACACCACACCAACCACGATCCCCACGACGCTTCCACGTGTATATAGGCCCCCCCACGACACTACAGTAAATCCGAATACCCCCCCTTACCCATGAGCATTACATCGCCCCTGAGCAACGCGTGTGTTCCTCCACCTACCCACCACCCAACCCCCCATTGCACCCATTTTCATCTTTCGAGTCTACACGGTGGAATAGAGAAGTCATGTAATGCCCCGCGCCGGATTTCAAAGAAAGAAGCGGTGGCGACACAAAAGTCATGTAGAGAGGACTGGGAGTACAGGCATTTTACCCGCGTTGCTTTCCTTTCCATTACTTGGTCCTTCGTGTCTATCTTGGATGCCCTTCAAGTGAATGGGCCGTGGATTTTTCAAGACAGGCGCGCGGCGAGTTTCAAGGTTGTTGGGCTGGCATCTTCAGACAGAAGTGGCTGAGACCTCACTAGGAGCGTGTCGGGGAACCGGGATTCAAGGACGCTGGCGGGAAGATTGATGCATAGGGTGAATTCCCGTGCACGGATTAGTCTTCAGATGTTACGTAGAGTATCGACGAATAAAGTTGAGCCTCTGATTCAGCGCGCCGTGCGGCCGATGGACCGTGTTCACGCAGATGTCGCGTATTCTTGGACGCTACCCTGCACACGCGTGTCGAGTAGGGCCGGTCGGCTACCCCGATTGCTTGAGAGCGACGGGCGATGTGCGCCTCCCAGACTCGGAAATTCATAATGCTCGTGATCACTCACGCGAGT